ATCTTTAACTCGGGCAGGAAGTTCCTCCCCTTATCGTAACGAAACCTTACCTCCGCCCGCTCTACAGCCCTTTGCCCATCTCCAGCGGAGCGCCAGCATCTCACTACCTTCGACAGACTTTGGTCGCGGACACAAAGCATTGACAAACATGAGTAAAGACTTTGAACGACATGAGCATATGTGAATGGCCTGGACTAAGCAGTTGCTTGTGTCGCAGAACCAGAAGACGGGAAAAGGAGCCAGGCTATGAAAATTCGCGATCACCCCTAGCCGAGTCGACCGCAACGAATCACTGGGCATCAGCACCGACTGAGGCCGGAAGTCCCCGAGGGGACTTGAATTTACGCTTCAACCTTCGTCACTGCCCGCCGCAAAGCCGAAGCTAGGGCAGGTTAGACGTAAGGAACCACGTTCGATCTCCGAAGACGAACCACGTTAACCCTAGATCAGCGCGCAAAGTGTTTCCTGCAGAGGGTGATTAGAAGTTACCGGGATTTGAGGTCCCATACGCCAAGTGGAGTAGCACAAGCGAACGCAGATTGACGTGACCGCTCCCCTAGAGAGCGCAGAAAGGGATGCCGACGCCAACCCATGACTCCCCACCGCTCAAACCGTCTTGGCATATTTGCTGCGGAGTTTACTGCGATACCAAAGTGATATCACGAAGAAGGTATAGCCCAGCGGAAGAAATTGGGAAAATAGGTAACACAAAGAAAGAGAGAAAGAGAGAGAGCTAGAATTAGATAATCAAGTATTACCTTAGAATGTAGATGAACAAAAGAGACAAAGAATCGATGAATGTATCACAACTGCGATGTATTTGTGGGGAGAGGGGAACGGGGAAATTTGGAGATCCTCCACGGCGGCTTCCCCAGGACATTGGACGACAGCTGGGTACCACATCTTTAACTCGGGCAGGAAGTTCCTCCCCTTATCGTAACGAAACGTTATCTCCGCTTGCTCGACAGCCCTTTGCCCATCTCCAGCGGAGCGCCAGCATCTCACTCGAGCTTCTGCCGGTCAGTGGAGACGTCTCCGTCGGGTACTCTCCTCTGCCGGGCGACTCGCTACGTCCAGACTATCTCCCCACGGCAGATTCGAGCACCTGGACGTCAACTAAAGAATAAGGAAATCTTACGAGAGTGTTCGCATTTCAGGATATCGTTGACGCACCCTGTAATGCTCCTAACGCGTGCATTTCATTGGTACAGCAGGGCTCTAAGGTCGTCTCTCTCGCACGCATACGGATTCATACACTTTTTCTAGTACCTATAACTATACTACCTTTAATTATAGAACTCCTCGAGAGCTATTGAAAGAGCCTATTGTTGAATCATTTTTAAGAGATTTTAAAAAAGTTCGATGCTGGAGCTGACATCCGTGTAGCATCTCCATTTTTGTAATATTGCGTAGCAGAACTATTGTTAAAACCTATCAGGAACTATAAAACTCTTTTATAACTCTTAAAAAACCTTATTGCTGAAACATTGTTCAAATATTGAGATGCTACACGGGTGTCAGCTCAAGCATCGCACTGTTTTAAAATCTCTCAAAAATGTTTCGTATCTTGAATTTAAAAAAAAAAACTGTGACGGTGTAAACGATGGAACGTGGAAATTTTAAAAAAGTTCGATGCTGGAGCTGACATCCGTGTAGCATCTCCATTTTTGTAATGTTCCGTAGCAGAACTATTGTTAAAACCTATCAGGAACTATAAAACTCTTTTATAACTCTTAAAAAACCTTATTGCTGAAACATTGTTCAAATATTGAGATGCTACACGGGTGTCAGCTCAAGCATCGCACTGTTTTAAAATCTCTCAAAAATGTTTCGACAATAGGCTTTTTCAATGGTTCTCGAGGAGTTCTATAGTTCCTGGTAGGTTTCAACAATAGTTCTGCTACGTAACATCGGTAAAATACCTATATACCTACTAAACATACCGAGAATTTTTTATAAACGTATTTTTGGCTTTAAAAGGGTCAAATGACCCGTCGATGATACGATTAGTGTTAAGGATACTAGTCGCACCATACGCTTCAGTGCAGGTATGCATAAGGAGCTGGCTTTCAGTGTTGTTTTCAGGTTGTGCTTCAAACAGTTCCGAAATAGTTCTCTCAAGTACTCAATGTTGGGACCATAGTTCCGCTTGGAACTATTGTTAAATAATGATTGAAGCTAGCACCGCATCGCTGCACTCCTTAACATAGGCAGGCATAAGGTGCTGGCTTTTGTCTCAGTAAATCTTATCGAGCATACACTGTACATTTGAATTTAAGATTAAAAAAAAAAAGATTTAGGCAATATCTGATAAGCGGCCTCTTTCTAAGGATTGCTCTGGGAATCAGTTGTAAGTTGTGGAGAATCTCTGCCCGCCAGGCTACCCGTTCGTGTTCACGCTTAGCTCGGCTACGACGGGATTCGCATTATCGACGGAGGCGATGATCACGAAATCCTACTCCCGGACTTGCCGCTACGATTTAGCGCCATGCTTTTGATATCGCCTAAAACCGGAGCGTTGTACATCTCCCCACTCACCTCTGCGGCCAGAGGTTTTCCGCCACCTCACCGCTGGTTTCCAGAGCAACCCTTAGAACGAGACCGGGAAATATAGAATTTCTGAAGAACTATTGAAAAAGCCTATTGTTGAAACATTTTTAAGATATTTTTAAGAAAGTACGGTGCCAACTTGACACCTGTATAGCACCTCAATTATTGAAAAATGTTTCATCAATATGCTTTTTCAATAGTTCTTGAGAAGTATGCTAAATCGAAATCTCGCAGAATATACGGAGTAGATAAAAATTGAATTGAAATTGTAGAATATCGAAAATAAATTACGTTCAAATTTGAATATTAATAAATTAGGTGTTTGGACTTAATTCCTTCTTTTCCTTATGGCTGACTCCTCCAATAAGGAGATATGCCAGAATATTAACATTTAAATATCGATAATTTTTTTACGCCTGTTTGTTAGAGGATTTCAAGACGAATTCGGCACATGTAAGGACATGACATTTTTTCATCTGGTTCGAAAGAAAATTAAAAAACTTTGTAGCACAAGGAGAATCACAGCTACGCCGTTATTACGCAACCAATGTTGTTGACAAGTCAAAATTTACCAATCTTAATTGTAGCGATGTTCAAAATGGTGTCCACGAGCTGCAATGCACTCGCGTAGACGGTGAACAAACGATTGTTTTGCATTCTTTATGGCCTCTCCTTTACACTGATGGCGACTGAAGACGACAGAATGGATGCGTATAACGGCGTAGCTGTGATTCTCCTTGTGCTACAAAGTTTTTTAATTTTCTTTCGAACCAGATGAAAAAATGTCATGTCCTTACATGTGCCGAATTCGTCTTGAAATCCTCTAACAGACAGGCGTAAAAAAATTATATGTTCAGTTGCAAAACATTCAAGGTAACCTTGAAAAAACATTTTAAAAAAGAGTTGACCAGTAATTTTTCACTATTACGTTAAAGCTCTCTTAAAACCATGCACAAGCTGATAAAAACATTTTCGATCGGACTGCTAATAACAAAGTAATCTCTACTGATCACGATTTGTGGTTCACCCTGTATATTATGTCTTCAATAAGATAATCTCAAAGTTCCATATTAAGTTTCGATCATTTTTTAAATTATAAACATAAAGAAGATGCACTTTGTAAGGAGAGTGAATTTCCATTACCGTACATGATGCTTATATTTACATACGTATCGGACACGTGAAGAATTATTTGCAGCTGAAAACACATTCATAAAAGAGCAATTGTCTAAACTGACATATGATATAGTATCATCGATTCGTTCAGTATGGTACGCATAAAGCCGTATAACAATAAACACGCTAAATATAAATTTACAAAATGCTTTATTTCTTAGTAATTACAAACAGTGAAACATATACATACTTCGTCGTATTAAGGAGAATAAGTAAAATAATCATCAGGCATCTCGCAACTATAGAATCACAGTAATACCATCAACACCGTAATTTGCAAACGTAAATAATAAAATTAAAGATGACAAACGTTGCAATCAAGTTATGAATATTCCCACCAATGCGATTACAAATCACATTAATAAATCCATTACTGTATGCCGCTTACTTCAAAATACAATTCACGTTACAAACGGAACCACTAATTAAATATTTCCTCTTGAACGAAAGAGAGGAGGTCAAATACAATTCTTCTTGTCAAACAAGAATATTCCTGACGATTATCTTTCGGTACAAAGACGTCAATTTTAAATCAATAAAATTCACATATCACTGAAAAGTTCATTGATGTCCAACTAAATAATATTGTGTTGCTAATAAAGAAGCTTTCCTGCTATACAAACAAACTTATCTTAACTGATAACAATGTAAATCAAAATTAATTCTGATGCATAAACAATTTTTTAATTCGAGGTTGATCAAGTAGAATCATTTCACGTTGTCCACGGTTAACGGCGCTATTATATTGACATATTGTTTTTGCTAAGAATAGCAATAGAAAGTTCACTGCCCATATGGCATTGACCAAAGACGTAGTAGAAGTCTTCTAATTAAACTTTTAATTGCATCTGTTAAAGATAATTGCGTAATAATTTATTGTCTATTAAATTTCACGGGTAGCTTAGGGAAGCAACAGAAGAAATAGTATTATTGTTTTTGCGCGTTCATAAGCTGGTTCCTGGAAGTCTAATTTGAGAAAATCGAATTAGAATAAAATTTGTTTGTTCGTTACAGGAACCGAATAGAAAATTTCTTCTTGACAGTTTTTAAATATTTACTGCATTACTCTGCATTGTAATAATCATTTATACTTCTAACACCGTCCCTTCAAAGCCTTAGAATTACATTTCACGTATACATACAATGCAGAATATAATTGATAGAATCGTAGTGGAAATTTTGCAAGATGGAAAAGAGCTTTTAATCATTTATTCATCTTTTATATACTGACTCACTAACATGGCCAATCTTGATATACAAATTCATCTTCATATAAGAAAAAAAACAATGAAGCGTCGCTTCATTGAAAATATAACATCGCGATATTGCTGTTAAAATAAATTTGCGAACCACAAATTATTCGGCTTCAATATTGGTCAAGAGGTATTTAACGTGTGAAACACACAAGTACGGATGACATCAGTTTATCGATCGATAAGCAATTCCTCAGCAAGAAAGTATTAACACCATGGAGAATGAAAACAGAAAAGACAAAACAAAGAGAACAGATAGAATGTTTAACGTTCAAATGAAAACCATTAAATTTTTGTCGAAAGTTCTCTCATATTTGAATAACAGAATATAGTGGCTGTCACCCGATTAATTTTACAGACAATGCGCTTATCAAGTTTCTCTACTTGATATCGTTTATGAATAACGATATATCAATTGAGACACGACAATTATGGCGAAGCTCTCATTGATGATTGCTCGCGCATACTAAAAGGCTACAACCGTGAAGACTCATTGCGATGAGTAGCATAATAATAAACATGTGCAATTGTTCAGCATAGAAATATAATAGTACAAAGTATAAGCGAGTAAGTTCCGATTCACATTGGTGACACGTGACTAATAACTTCGTGCCCAAACTAACAATTACAATTATTCCTTTATCCTGAAAATTTTAACAGATCCAACAAACAAGGCTCCTTTTGATTTGCGCAATAATACCTTGCATACCAAACACATAATGCAAACGATAAAGAAAGAGTATTAATTAAAATCAAAAACAAAAAATGCAATGCACATTTCACGGGCGCCCTAAGGTAGCTTACACGTGCAACGAACAACTAATTTAACGTCTAATTCTACTAGAGCACTAAAGATTGGTTTACGCCGACCGAATATCTTTTCTTCGCGCGCAACTGCCACGGCATACAATTTTCTGAATTAGCGACATCAAATGATGTATCGATATGACGCATAAAATTTTCAAAGCAGAGAAATGCATTGTTCGCCATAAGGAACCACCTCAACTCTTCAGAGTAAAGTGATAAAATAAAAAGTGACTAATGTACTTCCAACATAATGAAAAATCGATAACTTAAAAAAAATAAATGACAGTTGGCATACGTTACGTAACAATGTATTAGCTAAAAAAAGAAGTTGTTGCGCCAAATCATATTGAATGAATAGCATCGTATCAATTCTTCTTAAGCACATTTTTCGTTGGTCAAATAAATACACATCTCGAAATACCTTCTGGAGAAGCCAATACACAACTTCGCATGAGAAAACGTTTCCATTACTCGTACTCGTAATACAAATTGTCCTCTACTAGTGCCGGGTTCACATCGCGATTTCCTAATCAGTAAGAGTTACCGATAAATACTATCCAAGCTATGCCTATGTACTATCGCAGATAGAAACGTATTAGAAACGGTATAAAATGGACAGGTTATCTTTTTCTTTTCACTCCAAAACTAGACTACTTAGACATCATGTTATTCCTTTTTTTTTTTGTAATTTCCACATTTTTCTTCCTAAGCATCTATGCATACAAATATATACGACATACCCGTATACATATACATCTCTTCCAGCCTGTGTATATATACATATACGGATATGCATATACGCATAACTTAAATCGTACACGTTATCTTTCATGAAGTACGCTTTATAGAAAGAGATTAAAATAGAAATATTAATTATATTGGATAATGCGAATAATTGTGTATATGTGTGTGCAGTGTATTTAGGCTTGATTGCCCTCCAGCATCAGTCTTGCTTGCGTCCCATTAGCCAGCTATCCCTTCTCCTCCATTACTTACAACGTTAATCTTTCGTAGTTCGTATCACATGATCGTCATATTCACTCGATGGCGACACGTGGCATCATGAGTCCTCGCCTGGTCAGCCAGACTCTGTAATAAGAGTTTTAATTATCAATCCGCAACGCGCAACTTTTCGCTCTAACGTGATGGTTAGGCTTGTGAGATTTTGAAGAAATAATTAAAACATTTTCATTTACCCAAAACCGGTGCCGATGAGCAGAGAGAGAATGTTGGTAAGGAAAAGGGTGTACAGAACTTCCTTGGAGAAGAGTCCATTCTTGCCAACCTTCGCAGTGCGAATGCTATACGTTTTCCTCTTGGTAACGCCGGGTGGATGCTTGAATTTCCAGTCTCTGTAAATGGAAAAAAAATTTATGTTACATCAAATTAGACCGTTAAAAATCCTCTTTGAAAATTCTAATCATATAATTGCATATCTCACTGCAATCATTTTCAATTGCGATCCTAAGAGGTCATCAATATTAATTAACTGTAGCATCAGTTACTGACCATGAAGTAAATGGCGTATGCATTAATGTCGTTAAACTTGAACGTTATTAGAAAGAAACTGATAACTTTGTTAAAGAGGGCAATTCTTATTCACCGAAGAGTTATCATTCCCTCTGATTGAGTCGTTCATTGTTCTTGATTAAAGCACAATAGGTAACTTCAATCATCTTGAGGTATGCAGATGTAGATGAACAAGTGAATGAACACAGAGCAATGATTTGTGTATCAGAATGTCTATTCAAACTGTGCAGTATCTCATGTAAGAAACGGTATACGAAATTCTTCAAAGGAGGTTTTTCCATATTAATGACGGATAGAAGAAATAGCGTAGCTAAATGTACACCCTGAGAATATATATACGTAAAGAGGTGTAAGGGAGTTCGGGAAATTGTCTATGGACGAAAATAAATATTCATTTCTAACTCAAGCATACTGTTTGAACTCTTACTTAGGTGGTGCCTGGTCTGGACGAGAGCTCCATTCATAAATCCAATCCCCATTCTTCTCCAGCAATTCTCCGTCCTGCAAAGTTAGAAAGAGACAAGTTAAAGCATTGTAAGTTATATTTAGTTTGGTAAAAGGTAAATGCGAGGGAATCCACCAAAGTTATACGTAGCGGGTCATTCCGTGTTCGTCGGGTATCGAACCGTGAAAAAGGACAGACGTTCTGCGAGGTGGAAAGCAATTCAGAGGCGACGACGCCCCGACGTCCCATTGAGGACGTCGTTTTTTGCGAGCTACGACCTTACCATAGGAAATTTCCATCACGCACTTCAGGTTAAAATCAAGTTCAAGGTACATTTTGAAACAAAATAACCGACTGGTAGAATTTAGAAAAAAAATAATTTTTTAAAAATTATCATATCGTCCAATGACTATGATAACGCTTAAAAATCTGATAATACATCACTGTCAAAGAATTCTGGGAAAACTAAACAGACTGGATCAAGATTAGCCACTGAAGAAAATGATCTCGATTATGCCAGTCAACACATGATTTAATCTACGTGTATAATTTTTCTCGAAATAATTCTAAGCAAAGTATTGCTGAAATGTCGAAGCAACTTTTGAACACTAACAAATACAGTGCACTACACGTCTCGTGCACAGTCAGCCACGTGCCCGCTTATTGTTGGCACATAGAAGAACAAAGTTATGTCGAATAGAGCTAAATATTAGTCTACGCAATCTGGCAATATAGCACGTAGCAAATAACTATGACAACATTCGACCGTGTTTTGTATGTGTTGAGATAACTTGAAAGTTGATATTCCAATGTGTACATATATCACTGACGTTAAAACAAAAATGAGATTATTTAAATAATAACGGCCATGATGGCTTTTATTTAAGGGGTTTAGGCCACTGTAGCGGCGGAAAAAATATTCGTTTGTTGTGAATTTTTTTTTCAGCGGAACTATGAAGAAAATCGGAATTACAAAGTAAGGTCTTTATTATACAAGTAATAAACTATAAAAAATAATTTCTTCAAAGCGATACATGTCAAAATGACGACTGCACAGCATTTCTCCGATGACGCCTCTATTTACACGGTATTTTTTCGGTATATTGCATAATTCCTTTTTTATAAACAATTTCCTGATGATTTTCTCATGGCATTGTATCCTTTTACATTTCGAAGTGCGCCTTTTTGGCAAAAATCAATATATCGAAAAAATCCTACGTATTCCCATAGTTATTCTAATAAATAATCGGAAAACCTTTGGTTTTTCATCTTAACGTAAAAATTGCAGGTGGTACTGATTCGGCCGTGTAAATAAAGGCGTCATCGGAGAAATGCTGTGCAGTCGCCATTTTTACATGTATCGCTTTGAAAAAATTACTTTGTATAGTTTATTACTTATATAATAAAGACCTTATTTTGTAATTTCATTTTATTTCATGGTTCCACTGAAAAAAAAATTTACAACACGAATATTTTTTCGGTCGTTACAGTGGCCTAACCCATTAAATCAAATTATTCAAACAAAATTTTCTACATTCAAACTTAGCTAAATGAACGAGATTTTCAATGAATGAACCAAAAAAAAAAGCAAAAAAACATAGCTGACAATTGGCAGTAGTACCAACTCTTTTTTAATATAAAATTTTATCCATCAACCTACATAGGATGCCCGTGTCAACTGAAACAAAGGAAGTCTCTTGTGCTTTGTGTCGCGTCATCGTTAGCATGTCTCGAGAATTTCCTTCAAGGTTAACAATGAATAACAATGTACGATAGAGATAAGAGAAAACTCCATTTCTCTTAATCAAAGGACATACCGCGTCGCAATCACCGAGTGACTTGTCTTGATATCCAAAGAAATCCAAGAACAAGGATTGGCAATCGTCCAGAAGGATCGTATACGATTTTCCTATCGTTCGGTACAAGTCTATCGTAACAGAGTATAGTATTGATGACAGTAAACAGGGGCGTTACGTCGATAACATTGAATTCAAGGTCGCCTGCGCCTTAAGTCCTATCAAAATGCAACTGAGCTGCAATACTATTAGCGCTTGAACCTACTTCGCAATTATTTCCGTGATATAGCCGATCAAGAATTAAATCGTACGATTAGAAATATGCATACAACGTTCGAAAGTGCTTATATAACCCTGTCAATCGGCGAAAAAAATATTTGTTCCGGGTTTGATAAAACCAAAGATATTCAACAGCCTGATAACTTCCCTTCGAAGCGAGTCTAGTCTATTGAACAATGCTGGAGTAGAAAGTCTAGGCGTCACCTCATAATCTTACGCAATAACATCACGTTTAGACTGCATGGAAGATAAACATTGGAATAATGTTTATTTATAACGATCTTTTCTATAAACGGAAATGAAATAAGGAAATGATGACAGACGAAAATTCTACAATTTATTGCATGATAAATAGTACAAGGAACGTACTATCGCTTAGCAAGTACAATTATGTCGAAGCGCTTACATTTGACGTCTCCGTGACGTTCGAGCTTGCTAAGCCAGAATGAACGCGTCTTTGGATCGTTGCTCGAAGACGTAGTATCAAACGTTGCCAAGAATCGTACGCGAGCCATTACACGTGGAAGAGTCGCGTTGTGTCTTTAGTAACGGACCAGCGAATGTCCCTGTTTGACGATCGGCGTGGATGAACTTGGATAACAATAAACTTATGGACGCTCGATCCTTTGTAAATGCATAACGCATGTTATAGCTATAATGCTACTATAATGCTATAATGAAAACTTCCGGTCTCCGAAGACTACGGTAAAGGCCGATTCGCGCATTTCAGTGCTGTATTCGTATCGTGCACGTCCCGTGCGACGATACTTTCACTGAACGGGCAGTAAGTACTGAACAACGACTCTGTGGCGTCTGAACGGTATTGATACTGAACAGTACTGAAATGTGTGAACATCTCGAAGTGGTGCAGTAGCTACCGGATACGGCACTGAAATGTGTGAATCGGCCTTTAATAAGCAATACTGACTGGCGAACGCGTCGCTGACTTTTTGAATACACAAAGTATAATATGTCGCAGTTTACACTGAACGCTTGACCGATGACCTTAATACTTATCCGAGCAAGCTAAAGCACTGGAGATGATAACAGCTCGATCTCGACGTTTCGCAAGTACCTCCACACGAAGAATACTGATTATCAGTGACGAATCCTTATGATGATAAATTGACCACTGCGAAGAATATTCCACGCGTAATAGGTAGGGTTACCTAAAATGGGACGACTCTAGTGCGATTTATAGGTTTCCGTGTGTATTATTGTCGTATGACTGAGATTGTCTCTGGTGGGTAATTACGTGATTGTGCGTAATTGGGATGGATGCGTAGGTGTTCTGTGCCCAAAGCAAGTGGATACTATTAACATAGACGAGTGACGTGTTTTTATTGATTTCACATAGAACATGTGTTTATCATTAAAGGGACGGCTTATCGCCAGTGAGTGAGATAAATTCAAATCGATAATGTAATCATCTATCTATCAGATTACAGCAGCAATCGATATACAAGAATGACGCCTCTCGCGTTTTTTGCGCTGTGAAAATTGACCCCTAGCTATTTTCGATTTTATCTTACTGTAGCGCTACGTAGATCCCGATGAATAGGACACAACACGTGGCGCGTGCGTTTTTGGCATCCAAGAAGCATTTCGTTGTCGTCGTAATCGGGCGCTTCTGTCATTTGTGGAAAATCGATATGAAATTCGCTTAATAAATAAACTTTTTTTCGAGACTAAAAATCTTCTGACAACTTATCTTATGCTATATATGACCGTGTGTGTATTCAGTACAAGTTATGACTATGCGTCTCGGATTAATTTTTGTTCTACAACTTATTTCCCATTAACGCTCATGGTTGTTGTCATAGGACTTACTGATAACTATGACGCGAAAACATTGAGTCTCTAGGTGCAGCACAATTTGCGCATAACCTATTAAAACCTTGAAAAAAAAATTTTTCGTTTCACACATTCACTGTCTCGTTCACGCGTAGATCGTCATGAGACGTATAATATTTATACGCTGTATGCAATTTCGCGACGCGTTTACGACGTTGTTTACAAATGCTACGAGTTGAATTTACATTGTGGAATAACGTGGAGTAGTAGTCGACGTCTGAGCTACGATCGCTTGGGAAGGCTGTTGTTTCGAATGCATAGAATGAGATTTGGCAGTTTTACATAAAAAAAAAAAAGAGAAATATCCCACGGTGATTTTAATTGTTTTAATGGACGCGAATCCGTAGTGGTTTAATTGATGCGTCACGTATACATAAGGAAGATACTAAATGATAATGATATGGATAGGGTCTTTATATAATAGGTTAATGAACAAGTTCACTTGTACATACAATTAGCCAGTTGATGCGCATTTCGATAAAAATATTAACCATCCAACAAGACTATTAAGGAAACACTGCGTGGCCAGATTTTGGCACGAATTATCAGTACGCGCGTCCGTCATCACTTTGCGTGGGATTGTCCACAAAAATATATACGCCCGCGCGTGGCTATATATAAAGCACAATAAATATACACGTGTATTATACATATTAGTTATATATGGGCATGAAAATTTTGACATATTTTCAAAACAGTTTCTACAACCTTATATTTCGTAATCGTCCACTTTGTACATTTTTTTAGTGCAACGTCAATGTCTAGCCCTAGCGCAGCCGCCACAAATGCAATCTGCGATAAGCGTACGTTAAATAGAATTTTGTATTGCAGAGCGAATTCGAAATTTGCACGAAACTGTAGCCCAAATATGGCGATCGAACAGAGAGTTGGACAAACATACTTCCACGAGGCAATTGTCGGTAAAGAAGTTTTGTGTTCTTCGCGAAATCATCGGGGCTGTCCTTTCTCCATCAAACAACCAGCTAAATCGAGAATGAATGACTATTGAGTGGCGTGAGAAACGAACTGAATTTCCATTGGTCAGCTGATGAACTTACGACGCCTTGAACGCACGCCAATTCCGTCACTGATTGTAAACACGCTTGTATTTGCGGGATCCATTAAGAAAAAAAAAAAAAGAATACGAGATATCTGAAAGACACTAAGCTCATTACGTAACTCGTAGCACATAGATCGTAAAGTGAATATTGTCCCCACACCAAGTATGAAAAAATATTTTTTTTACCCAAAAGTCAGGAATATTTATTGTCCCACTATGGATACCGTAGTACGTTCCCTTATATTACGTAAAATATTTTTTTTACTATCACGCGAATCGTGGAAAATATAACGGCAAAGAGAGTCTCTCCCAAGTGCAGTTTGCGCTTCTATAATTGAAATACAAGAGGAGGATTACGTGCACCTGTGCAGGTGCAATCGCAACTTCACGCTTCGTTAAACTGTACCCACGATATAACGCGCTGTATACATTCTAGCAATAGCGAGTTGCACGCGATTAGAAAATTCCATACGAGTTTGTTCTTTCACTTTCATAGATACCGGACGACTCTGAAGTATAACGAACAGATGATATTTACGATACTTCCGAATTCTCTCTATCAAAATAAATTTCTTGCAAGCATATTTATCGATTTATGTAATTTATGGTTACATACCCGGCGGAGCGAACAAGGAAAATATGTAAAATTGTTAAATTATCCACACCATACTAATTTTAAGAATTTTTTTTTCTTACCCACCTACTATATGCACAGTGTGATTGGAATAGTCGCACGTGTGAAATTTCAATACAATATCATCGAGTTATGCAAATCTCGGAACTGCACGTATATATTATATATATTATAGCGATATATATGGGTATTAATCAGGATTATGTGTATATACTATATTTAAGGCAAAACTGTTACATCCAGCTATATCTCTTGTGCAAAACAGTGCAGAATCACCAGATTACACAGGTTGGGTATGTAGCTTGCATGGGTACCGGAGTAGATACTCCACGAACTATAACTTAGAACCGGTTCTTGAACGACATATAAAAAAAAGAAGTATCAACCGGATCGAGAATCGTATGAGACACTCGGATGATCAGAGCTAAGGACGGCGCACGTCTGTCTCCCGTAAAATTAGCAAGTAATTTAAGCTGTTACACTTAATTCATTTACAGTGAAACCCCAGCTAACAATTTTCGTACGTATTGCGAATTATTGTAAAAGAAAATAAATGCTGTCTTTCTGCACGTCAGATAAAGACGCTATACGAAAATGAATGGAAGAATTTCTGACGTTATTGAAAACAAAACAAACTTTGATAGCGCTATTATATTCCGATAAGCGTGAGTGACGTCACGTGCAGATAAAGATAATCCGTGATTTTTTTTTTCCAAAATAAAAGTTTTCCAATTTCCATCACGTAATATGGAATATTCATTAGTAAAATTTTCCCTCTCCGTTTCGAATGCGCCTGTAGCTACGTCTATATATAGACAAGCCATAGGCTTGCTATTGTATCATCGATTTGCATTACGTCTACAGTGGTGTTCAGAAACTGATAATTTCAAGGTTTTGCGGTGAGTTTAGTCACGCTCGGTATTCGATTTTTCATACTTGAATTCAATGAATTGAGAGGGAAAAGAAAAAAAAAGATTCGTCACGGAGCGTCGATCTCGTGCCGTGCGGGTAAACAATTGCACATACCAATTGGTATTCCTATAGAGTACGGATGGTTGGTAGGTATGAAAGTACCATGAAAGGTGATAGGTAGGATCGATAAGTCGATGGATCGGGTTTAGAGTTTCAGAGTCAATTGGTTCAGGAAAACATAAGGAGAAACGTTTCTGAGTGACGTCGTTCTTGTGCGAAGGTTCACACAGATGTGGATTTTCAGAAAAAAAGGAAGAAAAAAATCTAAACGAGAACGCGAGAGCGCGGAATAACATATAGCTAATGAGAGGTAAAGGTGATCGTGCAGTGTGCATCTGAATGTTTTGAAAATCGATTTTACCTTCTTGGATGATTTTAATGGCCCGTGCGATAAATCTGACCATACGATATATTACGGTCTTTAGAGTGCCACTGCGAACTCCCTACGAGTGGAGTCAGTGATCCAAGAAATCTTCTACGGGAAACAATCCTTATTGAATAAACCTGTTGCACGTTGGTCGATTGACAGTACTGAGGCTAACGTGACCTCAAAGTGCATAACGAAAGAAATTCCATTTCTGTCACTGGTATCATCAACGAAATAAAAAAAAAGCATAACGACTCCGTTACATATACGCAAAATATACTGTCTCTCAAGTATTTACAAAATTAGCGATGAAATAAGAAAAAATGATTAAAAATAGTTCACGCGTCTTCTGATAGCATAAAAAAATTCATAAACCGGTTATCCAATCGACACAATCTCCGAGCGTTCTTGAGAAGCGAAAGTGTCGAAGGTTTCGCGAGAGTATTTTAATTTTTGCAAATTACCAAAATTCCCGAAGACCTTGATACTGATATACGAGTAAAGAAAAACAATACTGACTCATATTTTTTTTATCGCCCTACAAACAATTACGTATCTATCATAGAAAACCATATTTTGCTTCCCTGACCAAGCAGATCCAATTTACTGTGCACACGTTTAAGGCGTCCGCAGATAATACTGTTTATTACTGTTGCGCATTAAACCACACACGGTACGGTACACATATGATAATCGATAAGGAAACTGACCTTGTTGTACGTGTAATTAATGTAAACGCCTTTAAGCTCGTCCTCGGTGGATAACTCCGTGTTTGGACTATTCGGTGGGCTTTTTGGGCTGTAACAAAAAGAAAATATTTCAAAATCATTTCCGATAACGTCGTAATGAAGATATAAAAGAGGGAAAAAATTAACTACGCGCACTAGGCGCCCGGAAAAAATAACCACTGTCCGTGTATGCCTGATAAAATTCGAGGACTACTTTAACAACTAGATGAATATGCTTTCGAAACGACAACCAAACGCAACGGCCAAAGCAGGCTTACCAAAGTAATGCGTTCTGCCGTTCGTGTCTATTTAAATATTTATTGTAGTTTCGTAAACACGTGCATCCATGTATATCCATTTAACTATCCTACGCGCACCTATTATTCACGTGGTAATCAATAAAACCAACAACCAAAACACGCGGCCATGTTGTCATAGAAAAGTAACATATGTATAATGCATATACTATATATATGCATATAGGATATTCAAATACAGTATGACTCTATGGACATGAGGCACGAAGCATGCAAGATCTTCCACATGTTTGAATCGTGCATGCCGGATGACACTTTTGGTTTGATGAACTGAATGCTTATAAATAGCATTTTTCCCACTGCGTCAAAGGACGAACGTGCGATGACTCACGCGCTGCCAAGTGAACCAAGAAGCTTGCGATATTGAGCCAATTACTTTGTTTCTTTTCTCCCCGACCATTTCATACTGGCAGACTTGGTCCGCGTGCATTTTGCGAAATGACGTAAAGCCAGGAGAGCTGCATCCCGCGACCTTGGTCAACGGGATAAATAAAAATGCTTCGCTAGAGCGACGTAAATACTCGGGCGATATCTGATCTCTGAATTTATCCTTAGATCGTTCCTCGAGTCCATCTTCAGGAATTTCACGAAGACTCCAAGACGAAAAATTACGCACAACTTGGATGAAAGATAACGCGTTGTACATCTGCTTGAGATTCCCGTGACTCACAGAAACTTAGTCCAGATTTATTTTCACGTTGACGAAGCATCCGGACGAAATTGCTGCGTTTCAAGATTCTGTATAGGCTTTATTTTTTATAGGAATACATTGTAACGTACTATAGTGTATTAACAGTTTTTTTTTTTTTTTCATATTTCTTACCTGTCTCGTGGAGTATCTCGACGAGAGGATGCCAAGGAATGTCTAGCGGAGGATTGCGTGGAGTCCCTTTGGGCTTCTCGAAGAAGCCGTAGGTACTCTTCACCGCCGGTGCTGAATGGTAAAGGTGTCACTCTGTCCGCTGGGACAGGATTGAGTTCGACCCAGGACTCTGCACCTCGAAAAGAAAGACGAGATTTTTTTCAATAAATCACCGTGCCAAGTTATTAGGATTTTTTTTCATAGAACCTAACAGTAGTAATTATTAATATAAATTAAAAAATTACAGTAAATGATCCGGCACACCTCTATTATCTAAAGTGTCCTCTTTCTGCTTGATTTACGTTAATAATTAATGACGTCGATTGGCACGTGACAATGGTAAGGAATTGTTCGTTTATTTATTCTCGATAACTAAGTTATGTAAATAAATAAGGAAAATACAGAGGAATCATTGTTGATTACTTTTATATTTGCGTCATCAATATTTTTCATGAAATCAAAACTGACTGTACCTATAGTCGGATTTGCAATTTTACACAGTTAAAATGATCGAATGTGTAAATGATCAATTTAATATCAGCTTTAAAGTGTACATTCTTTTTTGATTTTTTTAAATCAACTACAAAATAATAAGTAAAAATTATCACAGGCACAGTACGGTTTTTAAACAGTATTTATTTCACGATCAAGGCCTGTCTTTGACGTAACTAAACTCAACTCGTGCGCGATGATCGATACGTGACACGTTTGATCGATCGTGAGACGTCGATATAAACGATTCATAATAATATAGCTGTAATATCGATTCGTCACATTTGATGCAGTAATTGCGAATAATTGCATTGAATGACGTGCAGAAATTTCGAAAACATAAGTTTACAGCATCGATAGTCCTATGCTACAAAAGTAGCTAATCGCAATTCCCATATGAAATTACCTGTACGTATCAGCAGTATGATAACAAAGCTAAAATACAATTAACCGTAAGTCATTACTCACTAGTATGTTTATACGAATTATCAATAAACCATATGGTTAACTTTTTCTAAGGGCATAGGTCATGTCTAATATTCTATGTGTTAATGACCGCGGCGTATATAGTTACTCGCCAACTTTAAGAGGGAAAAAAAAATGTATCTTCTACACCCGAATTTTGGGTAATTTCAACTCTCCTAAATAGCCGAGCACCATGCGTCTCTCCCATTCCAAAAACTCTTATGTCGCAGTTCCAACAAGTTTCTCCTCTCTAGTACTACCATAAGATAAAGTTAGTGTGAGTCTAGCAGAAATACATTGTACCGAGAGAAAAGAAAGACTGCTCCATACTGTTCCTTAAATTATTAAATCCGTCGCGATTCGGTGTCTAAAACAAGATACGTCCATTGCGGCGTAACGTTACGATTCCATGAATCAGCTAACGGAGCTACGAATATGCGATGCAGATTTAACGACTATCGAAAGTTCTACAGCGTGTCCACGGGTAAAAATACAGGAAACGCATGACGAATCAATTGCTTCACTAATGAAAACGGTGTCAATATGGTGAACCGTATAGAAATGATATTCCATATAGGTTATTACGGCTACGTGAGAAAAGGCGAAAGAATGATGGAGAAGGCGAGAGAGACCTATGAGTTTATCAAGGGACGGAGTTCGGCTTTCTTCTACTCGGCGCATGCGCACTACCAATCCCAGCCCTTGCTGCGTTATTGAATGGGACGCTGGCGTACGACTACGTGACGCGCACCACGTAACTTTACTTTCGACTCGTATCCCTCCATCTTTCACTGGCTAATAATCTGGCTCGGTATTGTACTCATCATACGGATCATGTCTTCTTGAAGACCATTCGACTTAATTCACCGGTAACTCATCCGTATAAAAAGCTCCAATGAAATTCTCGATAGGAAACTAAGTTACATTGAGACTATACAATTTCCTACGAAAGCCTTAAATCTTTTACGTACGACGTAAAATGCTCAATGAGAATTGAATTGTTCTTTTCTAATTACATACAATTACTATTCAATTATACAATAAGAAAGAATAAAAGACTATACAATTTCCTACGAGAGCCTTACATCTCTTACGTACGAAGTAAAATGCTCAATAAGAATTAAATTGCTCTTTTCTAACGTGAATATTTCAATTCTAAAGCAATAACGTGCGTTTTGCATTACGTATAAGAGATGAAAATAATACGAGATCTGACGCGAGAGGAATGCCGTTTTCAGCGTTACTATTTATTGCCTCGGGACGATATTACTTGGAGAGTGAACATGGCTGCAGGTATAACCGGATGTCGCTGTGATTTGGTCTTGCCCAGAGAATAGCCGATGCTCATGCTCTATCCGCGTGTTCATGCGTCATGGCTTCCTCAGCACGAAAATTCAAGGGTTTCTCTGGCATTCGTTAATCGTTATGAAATTCAACGGCTCCATCCCCACTGCGGTAAACCTGAACGACCTCGAGAACTGTCATCGCGCCATTTCCCGAGACCACGTCAGGATTAATATCCGCGAAATACGTAATCTGGCGCTAAGACATTTGGCACAGGTCAATCTTGGTCAAGTAAAGTCTAAGAGAAACCATCCCTGCGTCAAGTCAGACTTCAAAATAAAATCCACTCAATACACAGAATAAACATCGCCATAACTATACCACGTGCATGCATCCAACGTACCAGTTACTAGGTACAAGTAAATACTTTGTCAGCATGAATATTCATCAGACAGCTACCATATACTGCATAAGTGTGATCACGATGTTCAATGGATAATTGACAATAAATAATTAGAAAGCTGCCATATTAATATTCAATAATAAAATCTCAATAGGTCAATATTGTAATATCTATTATATAATTTTTAAGTAAGTTTTCAAATTTCACGTTTCATCAGTCACGCTTATATTCTGCATGCAAGCTGTCAGCGGTTAATACTTGAAAATCTATGACATCCTACGGATATCACAGATTTTGAGAATTCGTAAAACGACGAACAATCTCATGACAGTTGTATATCGTAATTTATATGGTTTGGTTAAGTATTCTGTGGTAAGAGGATTATCAAGATAAACGACTGCGCACGGCTGCGGCCTACGTTAATATTTTACTCTTACACAATCGAGCTACTCTTTTACTCTTACACTACGGAACCATAGTGAAAGATGAAAAAAAATTAAACAGAAGATTGGCTGCTTTCGAAGTAGAACGGGTTTCCGGTTGGCAGTATCCTATATATACATTACGTATGTATGTATGTACATATCTCCCCACGATTGGATTTCACGATGCTGCCCACCGGGATCTTGTCATCCCCTGCTTCCACTTTACAAACGCACGTGCATGCCAAGGCTACACGTGTTGCTCTTCGGTACGTCGTACCGTGACGTTTTGCCAACTAAAATTGTTACTCCCAATAATTATAGGATATCTTACCTATAACGACATTTTCCCAGTATCTACAAGAAATCAGCGTTAAACCGCCGTGGTATGAAATTTCATAAGTAAACATCACACAAAAATATAATTCTCGAGTCCGATATTACACACGTGTTCAGTGGTTATTAGCGTATCCTGTTATTACGCTGTTATATATTTATTCAAAAGAATTCCACGTAGCGGGTACAGCTATAGATTCGACGAAATTATCAAATAATAACGGTTAAAAAAGAAAGGTAGACACTCGCGAAGACGTAGGATGCAATTTAGTGAATTGCCCGCACAACCTCTAAACGTTGACCTGGATTAACCCTACGGTACGTAATCGTGCACAGCACAGCGTGTTGCATATCGCACTGCGCATACTAGAGCGCAGTCAATTAAAATCGTTATACCATACGAAATTAAGCATGCACTATATACAGAGAAATCATTGAAAAGATTTTCATCCAGAAGCAACAGACTGTCATACTGATACGTTTCCTGGTATGGCAACGAATTAAAAAACTTCGACATGTACGTCTTCGCAGTCTGGTTAGCGTGTGTGCAGCTTATTGTTAGCAGAAAAAACAAACAAAAAAGGTCACGCTCTGCGTATCATCTAGGTATTCAACAAGACGCCACCTGAATCAAAGCCATATAGTATATACGTGTATGGAAACTTGAGCCAGCCCAGTGATACTATAGTGTAACGAGTACTAGTATCAGCACAATGTATAACGTTGTCGCATTACACGGCGGACAGAGTCAAACAATATAATAACAAGCCGACAAATTGAATAACGTCCTACGGGCCTTTCGGCTTAAAAATAGTCAAGAATTAATGACCCCCTTCTTTTCCCAGACGGTAATTTCAATCAGACCACCGCAGTATCCGACTCCCCTTCATCAACGCCATTTATTCTTAGCCAGTCTTCGACCCACGGAAATATTACGATATTCGCTGTTAACCGTACAATGTTTTGATTCATAAAAGCACGCATAGAGTGTTGCCAATTAATTGTGTACTGGATTTGGTTACGCCTACGAGATTTCTAAGCAGATCGTTCTAATCGATGTGTCAATCGAGGGTCGTGACCAAAGTCATATATATATAAGGTGGAGAAGGTCACGCCGTGGAACCTGAATTAGATAGCAGCTAGCCAAAAACGTGTCCGTCCTCTTTCTGTGTCCCACAGCACAACGTCATAGGAACAATGAACGGCCATGACACTGAGAGATGTTTCGTGGTAAAGAAGATACAGGAATAATTTGAAAGCCCCTCAGGGAAGATATGACGGATCTGTATAAAAAGAACAGAAAGTTAATTAACGATTATACGACTACTCCATTTATTCATATTCCAAATTGAGAATCACAGTAGATAGAGACGTGACCTTGAGTATATCTTATGTCACGTTATCAGAGTTATCAATAGTGAAATATATATATATATATATATATATAACGACCTGACCGAATCTTTCAAATTTTCTCTAGACTGCTCCAACGTTATCAGAGTTATCAATAGTGAAATAGAACAGAAAGTTAATTAACGATTATACGACTACTCCATTTATTCATATTCCAAATTGAGAATCACAGTAGATAGAGACGTGACCTTGAGTATATCTTATGTCACGTTATCAGAGTTATCAATAGTGAAATATATATATATATATATATATATAACGACCTGACCGAATCTTTCAAATTTTCTCTAGACTGCTCCATTTTTGGTAAGAGCGCCGTAAGTTATATAAATGATATACGTAGGTGTAATGACGCGACTCGATCGCTGTTGATATTCCTGAAAGGAATGCAGACATTGTGTTTACGATACTTATCCCATTGTATAGTATCTATTCTGCGGACTAATAAAGAAGGTCAGGGATGTCGAGTTATTTTTCAACTGTCAGTGACTCTCTGACATTCCTTTGCTTCACACTCATCCCGACAGACATCTCGTTGCCAGTACTTCAGAGAGACAACATATAGATGATCCTACGTTTATAGCCATGAGCTTGCGACTTTCTCTTCCAGAGGTAAACACAACGTTCGGAAGATATATTTACCAATGGAATTTTTCGTAAGCTGACTGGAGCATAAGGTAGCTATCGCTAGGAGGCCAGAGAATCACGGCGACCAAGTGGTATTAGAGTTTAAGCGTGGAGACTTGAAGTTAACAAAGGGCGAGTTCTCGCGTTAAATCATTTACTTAGCCCTCTCTCTTTTTCTAATTCAATCCTCTCAACGAACTTTTTCATCGGCTGACAATCCTAGCGATTAACGTCCTTGGTAATCGATTACGTGTTTTGCGCGTGCACGACACGAACATTCGATTGAACTCCTAATTATATAAATAAAAATTATCTGTGATGTCAGAGGAATATAGAATATCTACACAGATGAAATGGTTATTAGTGATTCTTAACTTCTTCATTAAATATTTCCCTATGCAAGAGAATGTATCCAAATCATTTGAAGTTCAGCCAAATATGTATATGGAGCCACTTGGCACGTTTTGCAGTGCAGATCTTTGCTATTGACTTAGGGTCGGGGGACTAGACTGGTGTAATCAGTTTATCAGAATGACTTGCGTCTCGTGTCACAGAATGGAAAGCGTGTCGGATAGGCATTTTTGCTGTATGTATTATATGACCGTTAAAACACGCGTAGAACCGCTATTTAATATTACAGAAAATCCACGAGGAAATTATTATTTCTAAAAACCGTGAAAAATAAGTGTCTTCGCTGTCATCGTTATTTGCTTTAAGATCTGAATACTCAAAAACATACGCAGTTATTAAGAGTATCATTCTTCATTCTTAATATGTATATATAAGCCATCAGAAGGTGCTAGTTGTTAAGTGATCATGAACATTTTTGCTACAGTTACAAATCATGTTATCGACAAAGTACTCAAAGAAGTCGTCATTTTTTTTTTATCTAAATAGGTTAACCTGCGCAGTTACTCTCACTGCTATAACCGTCGATCAAATATCGATTAGAAACCTTCGCACGATAAACATTAGAGCGCACACGTGGTGACGGCAATAATATAATGATGTACTGTCCCTATATATAGGCAAAGAAGAATGGAACTCTGGGGGAGTGGGATTTATCAGGACGATCATTGTTTTTCATATCACCATGATACTGACGATTAACTTGAATGAAAGTCTATATTTCCTTTTAATCATCTAAGACAAAGATGCTGTCATGATATTCTGAACTTTCATCAGCCATGTCATATTTTTCGTCATGTAGCGTGACCAGTGTGTAGCCTAGATTCCTACTAAGCTATAAAAAGCTGTGATTCGTGAAGCATCACCCGCACTGATGTATTAGTCTATTTTCATCTAGAAAAGTAGTTCGTGTTGTTAGTATACTTCGAGGGAGATTTGCATGACATTAATTCTTGAGATTAGCAACAGCAATGGCATTTGTTCCAACGATTGTAGGATTGAGTGGATTAAGGATTGTCGACTGAGAATCTTTGATGAGACGCAGTCATAAACATATGCTCTGCCACGTGTTATTATAATCAGATTGTCAACTACCGTTCGAATCTTACTTGGTACTTTAGAAACTTCTTTCACAGTTATGAACAGGAAACGGTAATTATTTTTAGTATATTTAAATAGTTTCATTGGTAACTTTTAGAGCCAGACATTTTAATTTGTATTGTTATCGTTTCATAAAAAGCGTAAAACAATACCGTGTACTTTTCAGTACCTAATTATCTTATTTCTGATAATAGGTATGATAATGCCATATCTTACAGATATCAACTCCGCAAGACGAAGAAAGAATAATACCTCCTTTGTTTTGACGAGCAGTTACGATTTGGAACTTGCGAATCTTTCAGTCTCGACGTAAACATCGTAGCTGCTAAGTACGAATCATGACATGTAATAACAATGTCTACAAGCAGAGAAATCTTGTCATAATCTTTTGCGAATTGAATACGTGACGGTCAAATGTACTCATGTCAGAGTGCGTCGTACATAAAAGATTCTTTCAAAGAAAAAGTAAGATCTAAGATTCTCGTAAAATTGTAATTATTTACGAGCAGAATAGAATCGTGCGAAGAATCAAATGCGCAATGTCTGCATTACTCGTATAATTTTTTTTGTTTAATCTTTATGCAGGCAATTTCTCTTTGACTTGCTAATATTATTTTTACTCATTTCGTTACAAGTTTCGCGTATACGCCTATGAATGGTAAATCTTTCTAAATTGTACATATCATTTTATATATTCCCTGCGCTAATACGTTTTCCCTCGCCATTTGCTTCCACATATTGCCTTTGTGATATCCACATTAAACACAGGATTTTTTAGCAAATATTGATATATCGATAACAGTAAATTAAAAAAAAATTAGTACGCCTCTTTTAATATCTTCAACGGATCACAATACATTTCTAAATTGTATGTACAGGGGCACGCGTCATTCACATATTTTTGACAATATTGTATCACGTACGCCATTAGATGACAAAAAAATATCTTGCAAAAAAAAAGATTACGATATAGATATTTCTGGAAAATTAGGGATTTAAAATTCCTACTCGATTTACAGAAGTATGCATTTTTGGAGTTCGCCGGTCAGCTACAAAAAATGGTCGTTGAAACCAGTCGCGACACGTCAGTGAATCATCCGATATTGTAATTTTATCGAGTGAATATTCAATGATGCACATATAAAAGCTTATTTTCAGGTGAATGCGTAGCAAATGATTGTGTCGATGTGCTCAAGTTCAACGGTGTCAGCTAACATACAGCGGTAATTGCGACGCAAAGAAGTAGTAGGGAGGCTGCGTTTGTTTACGTGTTGAACGAAGCCACGCGAAATGGCCGCGGTGTCAGAATGACAGCTGCCCACGAATCTCGTAGTAAAAGATCTTTCGAAACTCACCACCCAGCAGCTCGTCCGCAGTAAACTTGGCGGTTGACGACATCGCGTTCCTCCACTAAGCGAACTGACTCGCCAATACGGATATCACCAACTGACTGTCACGCACTTCTTAAATCGAGCAGGAGACGACACACTTGCTACGGATTGTTGCAATAAAATGCCAGCGAGCCGCGAGACGGTGCTTTGTTTTGATGAAACGTCAACACACGTACGTCAGACCGCTCGGCCAATCACACTCCATCTGACCCAATGTAAATAGTACTACTTTAGTCAAACCATACTATTGTGAAATTTGGTCCACTGTGTATCTGGTTACATCTCAACATTAGTACGAAATTTTGTACGGTAATTTTTTCAAATTATTAAATCAATTTCTGTAGACTCTGAATTTATGATGATAGATTTTTATGTCGCTTAGTAGCTTTCTTGAATCTCTCTCCTTCAGTTCGTTCATTGGCTTACTACCAGGTCGATCGGTTCAGCGGCTTTACATAGGCGTAAAGTCCTTCAATTTTAAGATGAACGCAGATCATGAATATTATTTGATCATTCCAACTTTTGGATCCATATGTACATATGATGAACAAGAGTTTACTTCTAGATATGTAAGAATACTTCTAAGTGCGAAATAATTCCTTGGTTTTGTTTACCAGATTAATAGTTTTGAATATTTTACTCTATTAGTGTATTGTGTATCTACGTTCAATGTAGTGAGTAATAAACAATTTAGTTTTATCAATTTAATTTTATTGTAAATAATATATAACGTAGTAACTTTTTATAGTTGTAATATAGCATTAAAAACGTAAAAGTTTATACTAATATTTCACATCCTGTGAATAAAGCTTAATGATATTTTATTTCTAGAAGTTATTTCGCTTACAATTGATGAAAATTATAAATAAAAATACTAATAATGTCTTATTATGTACTAATGTATTGAAGGCACGTTCGAGATATCATAAACATTGATATACTGAAAAATATTTGTCTTTTTTATTAGCATCTCGAGTTTCCAAATCAAAATATCCGTTATGCTATGACAAGATATACGCATAAATTTCTCAAATACATATATGCATTAGGTATTTTAAATCATGTAAAATTCAGATATACTTTTGCTATTTCTGACATTTTTAATTATTTAAAACAGACGGACAGACAGATCCATGGGTTAAAAATCAGAAACAACTGACCTAAAGTAGTAATATTTTCCACCCACTATGTCGACGCCAATGCATAAATGTACAAGGTGGCAGCACTGTGCGGCATCGCTTCAACCGCTAATTTGTGTTTTGTGACACGTATTTTGCTTATTAACTGCGTAAATCGTATTTTATACGTGAAATCATCTTAGAGGGAGTTATCAGAAGGTAGGTACAAGTTCATTTATAAAATGTGAAAGATATCGAGTTTGTAAGAGGCCGTCAAGTGTACAGCGTGCACCGCTGAGCCGTGATTAACAAAAATGTTGCGCTCCGCGGTCACTGCGAGTGAGACAGTGAAAAATGGTTGCTCCCTACCTGATCTGTCAAGTGATTATCTGTACTTTTCTCGTTTAGTATGAATCGTTAGACTCGACAGCCCTAAATTTCTCGTAACTCTCGCGTTTTGGCACCAAATTGAAGGTAAATATTAAAAGACAACTGCGAATGGCAAATCGCGAGTTGTACATCGCTCTTCGACGTTTCCATATGTGGATTCAGAACAGCGGCGTTTCGCGTATTTTGCTGCTTCTTTCAAGGCAATTCGAGAGGCCCAAGGTTGTATTTCGTCGGCAACCTTTCAACATTCTTGATTCGATCGAGGACTTGACCGTCAGTTCTGTGTTTCCATTCTATCTTGTAGGTTGCCTTGTATGTTTCTCGCATACAAATAGACGACCGCCCCTCTTCTTGTCGACGGTTTCTAATGTTGCCACACAGTACCGAACGTATTTTCCCTATTCATTCTAGTCGAGTCCCTTTTCTTAAATTTTGCGGAATCAAATATTCTTGTTTGACTTCTTAAGTGTCTTGAATTTCCTTTTCACTTCTTTTATTGTCTGTATAGTTTCGAATTCCAGTGCTTAACATTACTGGATGTACGTTTTCTGTATACCAACAGAATGTCTGTGATAATCAGTGTTTTTTTTGTAGCTAAAACGGACTCGGCAAGGCCGCTTCCACAGCGATTTTAACTCTGTTCCCATTTGTGCTCAGTAATACTCAGTGTAGTGCTGTTGGACATTAGATTTCTCCTCCAAATTAAATTTAATAAATTTGAAGACTGTTTAAACTTACATACATCTGAAACTTTATTACTAACTACTTCATTCTTTGTAAATAAGAATTTGATTGTTTCCATATAATTTGGAAATCCAATTTATAAAGTATTAACCAAATGAATGTTTTTCATTGTATGTGTGGATAGACAACAATTTTCTTGGTAACATTGGTTCCAAGATACTACTTTGTTCCAGCAATCTAATAAAATACCTGTGACAGAGTTTGTATTCTGTGAGACTTGTACTCTGTGTGAAGAAGAGAAAAATTGAAAAAAGTTCACTGAGATCATTTTGGGTATCTAAAATGTGTTTTAGTGTTGAATATAAATCTGGTATGAAAATGAAGATCCCAAACAGCGGCTCAGGGAATGGGTATTATGGACATGGGACTGGCATAATTCCGTATCTGGACAACATCGACGAAGAAGCTGATGCTCACGTAGCAGATGGCGACTTTTCAGAGTACATGTGGATGGAAAACGAGGAAGAGTTTGATAAAGAGGTACCTTTTAACAGCATCTGATATCAAATTTAATGAAACAATCATTTGTACAATGCAATACACAATTTGTATAGGTACTGCAACAGCTCGAGGAGGAGGAGCTGATGGAGGAATGCCTGGAAGCAATGTTGGAGGAAGAAAGGCAGCACCAGAGAAATCAAACATCAACAGCTTGGTCCACTGCTACCAGTACTCCTGACAATAATGGCGTTGATCTCTGCCAGCAACTGGGTGGCTTACGAGTACATGATGACCTTGCCAAACAGGTAATAATTTCAGGACAATCTCTTCAATTCGCCACTGGTTTATAATTCTGTCAGAGAATTTGGAAACAGAATCACTCCAAGGACTCTTCCGTACGTTGACTTTAAATGTCCGAATACGTCATTCGTTTTTAGAGTACACTGAATCCAAATGCGGCAGAATTTGTACCCTCATTTAAACCGCCAACGACAGCAGTAAGTACGCCGCCTGAGGTTGCTGCTGAGTCGTCGTAGAAGAGTTTCGTCTCCCTTATAACGGATATAAGCCACAAATGGGCTGCAGAGATGCCTGGAGTCCATCAGCTACAGTCTATCAGGTGTTTAGACTGGGAAACTTTAGATACATGCCAGCGACCGTATGTACAAATAGACGAATGAGTGCGTAATCGTCGATATGGAAGCGACACGGTTACACATTATCCGAAATTAATGACATCAATTTATGTAATATTAAGTAAAAGCGTGTGTTGTTCATGTTTTTTATAGGAGAGAACCCATTACAACAAAATCACCAAGAAAATTGATATCCGTCTATTAATTTGTTCAGTAAGTCAACGGGCGATTGATATCGCACACGTATAAATGGCAAAAATTAAATTATAATTATCTCTACGTTCCTGTTTATACTATTTCACAATGAATTCCGGTAAAATTTATAATCATTGGCATTACTTACAAGCGTGATTTTCGACACACAGTTATTCGTGAATACAACAAAAAAGTAATACTACTGGTAATAGGTAAAGGGGGAAATTGGATAGCTCATATGTGGGAACCCTAGTAAACTTCCAGAGAACTATACGTTTCTTATTTACGTCATTTTTTTTAACACAAATTTTCTTTTTGCATGATTTCATTAAAATTTATTGGATGGTGCAGAAGGTAAATATTTGTATGTTAACGTTGCGCGAACGCGTTTACTACTTTCGCCAATGTACTTAGAGGAAGACTCGACGCAGTACCATTTATTTAAACAATTTCTATCAAGTTCTTGAACCTCGCTATAAAACAAAAAAGAAACCTAGTCGAATTGTAAGTGCGTTCACTTTTGCAACGAGTCTTGTGCAATGATAATTATTTTATTGTGCACACAGAAAAACGAGATGTGCATATAGGATCGTCGAAGCATAACGGTTTTTCTCATTTATCTAACAGCTCCTTCGTCTAACGTAACATATAACACCACACAATGGACACGTAACTGTATGACCCGAAGTATCATCTCATGTCTACGATTAAATAATCGAAAATGTAAAAATTACGATATAATTCATATAAGAAAAAAAAGATAAAAAAAATATTGAAAACAATATCGAATAACGGTGTGGTCGGTTTTGAAAATCTCGAGTCAGTATGGACTCTTAATAATTTCAACTTCGATCACAAATTATTTCCAATGAGTTACTATGGCCAAGAGAAGAGAGTAGTTTATGTATACGGATTCTAGGCTCTCTGTTAGTACATTCTCTTATGTAGGCTTTCGGAGATTTCTATTGAGTCTGTGACGAGGGACTCTTTTGGCAACAACTCTCCTTGGTAACAATAAGGGTCAGGACATTGCTTACTTACTTTCTATAAAAGTTTCTATAAAAATTCTATTTCGAAATTTTATAGGTTGTAGGCCATCAATTATTAATTACTATCGAATCATGAAACAGTGTAAATGGTGAGTGTACGTTTCAGTTTTTTCTTGAATCGCAATAAGTCGTTTTTTTTCGACAAACGTAATCATCATTAATATTCAACTATGCACATCACTTAGCAATATGAAATATAAATTCTTTATGGTACACATTTTGGTACCCATACTTGAAGTGATAATGTCGCTCAAGATTATTTTAATTTTTTTTTTGTATAAATAGTCTTCCATTATTATATTTAGTTTTTGATATTTCATGTCGATCTATTGTCTCAGTTAATTTATAAATATTTGAAAAATGCAATTTTTGCGATTCAAGATAGAAAGGTGGTGATCAAGACACGTTGCCATCCACGTAATCATTGTATAAAGATTTATTTCCTAGGCTTTAAAGAATTATTACCTATTAATGTACGTATTTACAATGATAGAGTTGTTTCTTCCGCAAATTGTTCCTAATGACAAAAGATCATTGTTTGCATTATGTCTTGCGATCATTATTCAATGTAGAATAAAGTTGCGCTATTTTTATTTACTGTACTCATAATTTCATTGGGTCTCCCTTCACGTGGCACGAAGTGTTTTCATCATGACCTAGGATGAGCATGGATGTGGGACTGCGATCAAAGAAAGAGCGAAAAAAAAATATGTATATGGAATATAGTGTTACTTACAATATATAAAAATTCTTCATTTTATTATGCAGAAAGTTTTGCTTTCCGGTTTACTGGATTCTCAATTTCACAGGCCCACGGTTTTTTCCTGGCTTTTTACTACATATAAAGAGGCGAACGATACCGATTCGTAATATAAAATATAATGTCGCTAATCCCACGTGAATTCGCTTGTTGATCATGTAAATGATTGAATTGACAGACTGCATCGAGATTTCCGTACACCACGCGATAATCATAAACTAAATAATGTAGTGTATCAATGTGAAGAAAAAAAAAATGTATAATAATTATGGTCACATGTCTACTGTTGACATTTTTAATCTTCATCAGTAATGAATTTTGATTGTAAATTACCGTATTGATAAACAAACGATTATGATGTAAACGCTTATATATTAGACTTTAGTGTCGCTGTCCAAGTCTCACATTTAAGATCTCGATTCAGTCGTGATTTTGACTGTGACATTTGGACGTGGCAAAAAATGAATTGAATAGACTAAAGGCTAATACGCACAAAATCACCAGTAGGAAACATTTTCTTTTTCTTTCTACATAAGTCTGTAGGAACATCTCTGAAAGGTGTCACGTAACTTAACGTGTTACTGGGCCTTTCCCTTATTAACTATTTGCCACTTGTGAATTTGTGCGTTTCAGACGTTTTTAACTGGTTTTTGATTGAACAAACAAAACGAAAAAAAAGGTACAAAACTCGCAAAATTAAATTAAAAAAAAAACAATACTCGAACTTAAATGGTGAATGTCGCAACGTTTTTAAAAAAGCAGCGGCGTATGGGATTCTACGTGTGGTTGTTTCTGACGTAAGAAATCTTTCGACTATAAGTTGAAGCGATTACACCAATGGTAAAAAAAAAGGAACGTTGCCTTAGAGTAGATCATATTATTTTATACAGTTATCAACTATTATAACACACACTTTGTCTTCGTCCGTAAGTTTTGGCATTTGTGATTTTTTTCACTTCATTTTTTTCGGATTTTCTTTTACATAACATTTAACCTGTGGCATGAACATACATATATTACAGAATGTACGTATTAAAATAGACCTAAAACGTAATTGCTGTGTATATCATATTCTTTTTATCTTCACATATCCCTTTGACACTGTTCCTTCTCTGATTATCTGTGAAGATAAAATTGTTTTGAAAAAAAATGGAGGGTGCGGATAACTTTTACATTTACACGGTGAGTATATGTAAAAGTTTATTGTTTGACCCATTCGTGAATACATAGTATAGTTTACAGCAGGTTTCTACATAACTAAAATGTTATACAGGCTTAATATATTGTTTTCATGTTTAATTCGATACACATTCGACCTATAAGCGCAAGAACTATAATTACTGTTTCCCTCGTGAATTAAACGTAACAATAAATAATCGCCTCTTATCAAAGTCCAAAAATTAAGCATGTAGAAAGGTACAAATGTGGAAGAAGTATTCTTTTTTCTTTCATGTCGACACCAGTGTGTGTACTTAATCGGTTCGAATGTTCAAAAACTACCGAAAAAATAATATATATGTATACATCTAATTTTTTGTTATTATCAGGAAAGCATCACCTTATATTTGGCAGCATATCAACGACTACTTATTTCTACGATAAGCTATTACGTGTACGTACTGTGATCTTCCGCATGTTCTTATTACGTGACCTATTATATTTAACGATAAATTAGTACCAATGTATTTCAAAACATTTGCACGATGTACCTGTATAAAGTTTAATTGTGTATATCGTAGATTTATTTGGTCGCAGTGTGCTTTTGATGCTTATACACTGACTGCTCGAAAACTTTTTAATTTAATGTTGAGTGCGTCCTCAACGACCACAGAAAAGGAATAGTTGGAATATTACGGAATAATCTTGCTTTGAAATACACTGTACATGAAAGTAATGATCAAAGTTTACGTGAACTCTTTAGGTTCAAAAAATTCTCAGCTGTTTTAAATATTCATCTAAAATGGAATGAGAGCCAAGATACAATCGTTAAGTTACATTGTAATTTTTATTTCTTCACAAAAATTGGTTTTACACCCCTTGTCGCCATGTCTTTAAGGATCTCATTCCTTACATCTTACAAATTCATATTTGCAACTTGAAAAATGATATCGTTTAACATTATTGCCTAAACACACTGTTAAAGGTATTTCAAAAAGACTTTTACTAGATTGTATCAACGGTAAGGTTTGTTGGTCATTTTCACAGGACAAAAAATCAATGATATGTGATAGAGAAGTGTCATTGACGAAATTCAATATAAATGCAATTACAAATCTCTGACATCCAGGTAGGAGGATAATTGGTAGATTTTGTATTATGAAAAGTATTTTATGTACGAATTAATTGAACGATTACGTAACTTTGATGAACATTTATAACACGTCGTCTGTACACAATCATTTTTTCGCAATGACCATACAAGTATAAATGAATGATTAAGTACTTGATCAAGAAAATCATTCTACTTTGCTTCGTGATTGTTATACTCGAACGAGCGGTGATACGCTTTGAGTTAGAAGACGCTTTAGAAAGTTATTTTTTTGTTTGTTTGTAAAATCTCGCAATTTTTACACAGTGAGCAATAATACTAGTATGTTGACAACCGTCAATTATGTTTTAGTTCTAATACTCTCCTTTTGTTTTTAAATTTCATACAAACATTTTTTTTTAAATACAATTCTACATATCATACAGTGTCTGTATTGCCCTGGACAATTGTCCTATATCAATGGAAATGTGCACAGTATATTCAAAAAGTTCAAAAATCCACTGTATATCTTTTCTCCTCTATACAGGAGAAAAACGTGTGGGCTTAATTTTGAGCACAATTCTTGCATGAAAATTGTTAGACAACCTTGAAATACCTGTTATATAGATTATCTTCATTTTTAAATCAAGCCTAATACACATCATTTGAATAATATAAAGAAAAAATGGAAAAGAATTGACTTAAAATGTACAAAAGTTAGAACATAGTTTGGCTAGAGATTATACAAAAATATTTGTATATCTCTGCTATCGAATCATAGAACTCTTTAGGAGATCTCCTGATGTTGAGCGAGCAAAAGGTCGGTACAAGTATTCTTGAGAAGAATGTTATGTTTCTCTATATAATATAAAAGACTTTGTAAATAATTCTTCACCCATAAATATAAAATTATATTCACTTATATACAATTACATTAAATACTTTGATCAGCAGTCTCTTGATTAGGATGCAATGCTGCATAACTTAAAGTTTCATGTTTATTACGTGCTGTCACTGCTGTTGAAGTAATTTTATTTTATACGCTTAATATACAACGCAACGACGTATCCAGTGTTTCAAGTGCCAACATCGTGTTTCACGATTCTCGACTCGCAATGCGTATGAGAAGTGGAAATCGAAGAACGCAATAATAACATTAATAATAATAAGCGATGCTCAGAGAATGCTTGGTAATTGTTTTTAAATACGTATCAAAAAAGTATCACTGTACTGCTTATATGCAATGGAAACGTATTTGAGCCTATATTTTTCTCATCATTCAGTTCACACTTAAAAGCGTCGTCGCATACAACGTGTAAGAAAGATATATTTGTCTAGAAGAAAAAAATAGGAAGAACAGAAGAAGATAACGTGACGCTTCTTCCTAGAAAGTTACTGCGAGGGAAAACAATTGGGCTTCATCGGTAGCACTGATGATAACACTTAAGGAGCGAATAATTAAACAAGATAATTGATATCGATAAACGAATGAAGATTATATGGATCCTTCTATTCGTTATCTATGTCAATATTGATTACAACCGGGTGTTATAACAGCGAAGAAAAATCTAAGGTATTATTGTATCTGTAACGTACCACTGTATTATTGTCTGAAATGGGTATCATTAAAAAAAAAATAGATACCAATTTTTTTGCGACACGCTGGGATGTTAGGAAATAGAAATAGATGGCAGTTTTAGAGAAAGAACTAACTGCAGCATCCTTGAGCATGGGCGTTACAATAGCGAAAGGAATAGCTTGAGAGAAAATGTACAATAAGGAACTGTTGCCTCTTGACATAAAAATGTCGGACGATGTAACATAGTTAACGTTAACAAAGCAACACGTGAAATTTTAATAATTTGTTAATCGGTTCTCTGATTTTTCAGCTTCTTTTAGTAGTTCAGTATCTTAAATTTGTCCATGTCAAATTCAAAATGACAAGTTAAGAAGCAGCGAATATATTAGATTTCCCCTCACTAGAACCCCGAAAAGTCTATTGTATATCAATTAAGATTATTATGATAAACGTAATACGAGAATGATTACGATTACGTTAGAACTTGTCATAAAGAAAAATACATGAAAGCTCAATTCATTGTTGAAAGAAAAAAATAAGACTGATCGTGTCGTTCAAAACTAGTGAATTAGCATCACGTCGATAACTATTGTATTAAACGTACGTCCAGTATCTTATTATTTTACCTCGACACGGTAATACTTGGGTCCGTGCATGTATATAAATCAACGGACTAACATGAGTTTACGATTGACACGAATTTAAAAAATTTCATCTTAACTGTGACATCCTAAATATGCAGAGTGTCCTATTTTCGAGCAGCATAGGTTATGCAAATAACGTTTACTTTCAGTTCCGAGAGTAAATAGATTGCAGCAAACGGTACGAATGCCGTTGTATATTACTTATTATTTTTCTTTAGATTTTCTTTCTCGCATTAAAGGCCCCCTGGGAATTTACAAAAGGCATGTGCTAAGATGATTCAAATCGCATAAAACGATTATTATAGTTATAAGGAAGTAGTGGTCCTCGTCTTTATATACTCTTTTCACATTTTCATTCCGGCATATCGTATACCCCGGATATACAGACGACACTGCCTTGATTCGTAGCTAACACTATGATTCATAGAAGATAGAACATTCTGCATGCCTATCTCTTGGTAATGCTAGTAATTTTCTTAATTAGTCACCCGTAAATAAAATCTTACACGCTTTCCGTCGGACTCTGAAACTCGGACAGAGCATGAATTGGATTCTGCACTTTTTTCTGCGATCCTTTGCGTACTTTTGCCCTGACTTCTTCTGGTCGCTCAGGACGTACTAGCGGCTTCTTTTCCGGTGCTTTCATCTTCCATACGACAATAGGAGACTGCTTAACAAAAACATTAAGTTGTCATCAGTAAATATATGTTCACGGTGCTTGTTGACTTAAATTATCTTTGAATGCACATGGAAAATATATATACCACCCTGACTGGTCTACGCAGAAAGGAGGTTACATTTGCTGCGAAGATATTATATCCAGCAGATTTCCTATATTTCTATTTTAATGGTTAGTGACGAAATAATATTGCTCATATTCGAATTCAGCATTGTTAAAAGATTGAGAAATATTGGGGCATGAGCGGTACGTAGTTTTAATACAGATGTAAAACTGTAATTGCATTACAGCTACTGTACAGGGTATTTGTACACACAATCTACTGATATAATATTAATATGGGATTATACTTACATACTGTGTCATCCAATATAGTTAGTAAACAACAAATAAAGCTTTTATCAGCGATTTTACATGGTAAGTAATACTAATGGTATTTACTATACCAAAGTAATCTAATGAAAAGTAGTTATGGTATCTTATGTACCTGAGGAAGTGGTTATTTGTATCATGACTACCCAGTATAGTAATATACTACAAGGCATTTAGATACTTAATTTATTGCTTGAAAAATGAAATTAATATTACCATTATTGTAAAATAATAGCAATGATTCTTTTTCAGAGTGTGTTTGGACAGAATTCATTTTGTGTGATTGGTGAATGCAACTGTTACTGTAGGGATAGTTTTAAATGGATTAAGCTACGAAACTAAATGCCTTAGCTGTTTATACATTGCTAAAGAAATTACTAGCACAAATATGAAGACAGCCCTAAAACTTGTGATTATTTCTGTGTATACCAGTGCAACGGAGTAGAGAATAGATAGGCTGTGGGATACGGGCAGGTAGAGCAGGTACGGCTCTTGTGGCCATCGTATCTCACTTCCATTGTCTTCAATTGTCTACAAACAATTTAAGGCCAGATTTTTAATCTCTTTCCTAGCAAAAAATGTTTTCAATGCTCCAACATGTGCATTACTTTCATTGCAGAAATCCTATACTCCTACATAGCATCTGTAATCCTCCTTTTTTTATATTCGTTCGTTGTCACTTGACTAATATTGTATTTGATAATAGAACTAACAACTATTTTGATTCTGCTGACTAAAAAAATAACAATGTATAAGGGTACCTAAAGCGCCATATTTGTTAAACAATCGTTGTTTAAAAATACCATATATTTAGCTTAGATATTGAACGGCGCAATTCTTGTTTATGTGAAATTGGATGTTTTATATAAATAATAAATCGTGCAAGACTCACCGTAACTGTGGATTGTCGTGGATATTTGGTGGACGCCACGTAGGATGCTTTAACGGTAAGTACCACAGCATTCATCAAATTCTTAGCAGCCTGGATAAGGGATGTGGCACTGTCCAAACCGGATACAATAAGTTCACCACTGATATTTTGTACGTCAGCCTTGACTTTACTTGTAATATTCATCTGATGACAGTAGAGTGCAATACGTTGTAAATACGCCAATAGATCCTTTTTGGTCGAACTCTCTGGACATTGATCAGCAATTTGCCTAGTGAGTTTATCGAGCTTAGTGCCAGCTTCAGATATTTTCTTAGCAGCGTTGATAACGTCCATAGTTGTTTTAAGTGGTCCGCGACCACGAGTGAAATCAGTCATCTCCATCATGATCATACACATGTGTTTAGCGAGTACAATAATATCATTTCCTGCGTCATCCCATTTAGCCACTTCCCGATCGAACTTCAACTTTTCACTCTTGAAGAATTCGACTTGCTGAAGAATCTTCTGTTTGTCTTCCTCTGGCATCTTTCGCATGGCTTCACGAGCCGTTGTGATTCCACTGATCTCTGGATATTCATCTACGCCATGCTCGCCGGTCTGAGCGCTAGATTTACTGCGAGTCTCTAGGGTGTAATGTTCGTCCAGTTCAACGTCTTCCGGATCTAGATCTTCGTCCGCCTGTAATGATTGATAGAAGGTTACGATTAGAGCTCACAAAGAAATGGATATAAGGAAAGAGTATGGAACATAGTAGGTCGAATAAATATTGGTCTCCAGTAGTAGTACTTACTCGGTTCATCAGTACTGCGCGTCTAATTTCGCGAACGCCGTCATAAACTAGTCTAGAAGCATCGATGAAATCATTCTCATCCACATCCTTTGCCGGATTACTGCCCAAAGCATCTACGGCAACCTCCACTCTCTGTGCAAACTTTGGCATTACTTGCTCCCTGAGGACCTTTACCGCCTCCAATACTCTCTTTGTGTATATACACGGTTCGTAATTGTCCATTTCAGCTTGGACAACGTTGCATACCCGGGCAGAGCGACCTCTTATGGCCCCAGCTGTTCTGTCCAAAGTATCTGCGTCACCTTCTTGCAAAGCAAGAACACATTTGTTCACGTCCTCGAGGATATGATTCTCGGAGACAGCCAGGAAGTCATCAATGGTTGTGATGTCGTCGACGGCTTCGGTCAGGACGCGTACTTGGTTTTCCCATGCTTGGCGGAATACCTCCATGTTGTCAAGGGCTACCTTGGAGCGGGGACGTGCAGCCAATACACGGGCAGCATTTATAACTTGCGGGCAAAGATTCTCAATTTGAGCTGCTGCGTAACGCACCATTTTCACTCCGTCCTCGTTCCCTGACATGCTGCAGACTAAATTTGCAACCTAATGCAAACAAGCAAATGTTTTTAATACACAGTTACTGTTCTGAGTTGACCCACACAACAAGTTCCGATAATACTATGTTCGTTCAGTTAGGTGTTGGAGTTTCATGCAGCATATGCAGCTTGTTTAAATAAATTCAAAGAAATTAAACGTGTGCGAGAATGAGATACATTCAATGCTAAAAACTTTGAGTCGGAAGTTTACCTCAACCAATTTGTTTGCATGTTCTGTGAAGACCAATGCATATTCCTCGACTTCCTTGTCCCTGCCATTACGCGCAGCTTCAATAAGGACCAGAAGAGGTACACTCGTCTCCAAAAAGCTGTCTGATACATGATCGACCACAGCTTTACGCAACTGTCTACGCAAATCGCGAGTCTTCCTGCACATGTGGTCTATTGCTCGTTCTAAGCCCTCCGACTGCTCCTTAACACCCATCTGTCAAAATTTGAATCATTTTAACAATACAGTAGTGAAAATAAGGATACATATTGAAAACATGTAACACCGACTTCTCTTCTTTTTATGTCTGGTATTTAAAGTATTCATATATCATACAAACAAATCATTCTGCAATATTAATTACATTTATGTAAGAGCAAACATTTGTAAAAGCATAGTAGACCGAGTTGCTGCTGCAAATCATTAGTTATCACATTTCTAAATGAATGTTGAGTTTCTGAAAATATTATTTGTTTCGGACACATAAACAAGTAGCCAATTATTTCTTGTTCGTCATTAGTTTCAAAATAAGTACTTGATGTGAATTAGTATTAATAGTGTTTCAGGAATAATAGTTAAACATGATTTTGGAATAGAATAATAATTGATAGGATCCTATAATCGTTGTGGAAAAACGAATTTGTTCTGTACTGGTGAAAAATAATAATAATAAAAATGAGATAGCCATAACAATCATAACTGTTCTAGTCTGTCATAGGTAATTGTATGGAGATAGAATGGATGTAACTAAAGTCTTTCATGGGTCCTGCTTGACTAATTATGAAATTTTAGTGTTTGTATTCATACATAGGGAAATACAGTACTTTAAAGTAAAGTGGAAGTAGTGGAAGTTCGTTAAGTGTGTAAAAAATCAAGTGAAGCATTTGTGAGAGTGTACACACGTCATAAAACCATACTGATTAGTGCCAATTCTACCTGAATGTGTATTTCGATCTCGTAAATGATTTAGTGGTGAATATAGTAATAGTGAGCATGTGTGAGCAGATATGAACACTCAGAGAGCGGTGATGAATAAATTCTAATGAACAAATAATATATCAAACATAAATGCAGGAAACACATAGGGTGATCTTGAATATTTACCCTTTTCCCACCCCGAGCGAGCTGTAACTGCCATCGCCAACAAAAACAAATAAATATAATGAATGTACCACAAACACTTATGTAGCTATGATAATTACGTTCACCATAACTGTATCTGTATTAACTATAGACTACTTGTAAAATAAAATTAAACAATCTTTTGGTTTCTTCATAATTAAGATAATTGTCTACTATATATACTAAGATGATGACACAAAACTCAGGATATTCTTTTTCCTATGATTTGAAGAAAGAAATGCTTGATCACATAATTAATTTGTTTTTGCTTATAAAGCAAGATAGACGATCACATAAACATTAACATATGATTGATATTTTGTTTATCAGTTGATAAATGTACTGCGAATTTGCATCGCATGGAGTATCTTTCATAATGAAACAAATGATTGATGTTTAACATATAATTGTATTATAAGAAGGATAATATTTATTGCACTTACATTGTTCATGTATTCGCTGAGTAAATCCTGGAGCGCTTGTCTCACAGCATTACATTCGGCAACGATACGTTCCCTGCGTTCGTCCCGAGTGCATGAAGAATCAGCCATAAGTGCCGCACCGCTAATAATACTCTCAAGACGTTCTTCAAGACTTGGCCGAGTCCTAACTTCGTTATAAGCAAGGGGTGACATAACCATCCTCTCGTCAAAGTCATCCAGGGCAGCGGCCAATTCACCAGGTCCATCATAAGGATGTTGACCATCCGAGGGAGTTTTACCCTGGGCTACATCGTTGATAGTATTGACGGCTTCACAAACTTGCTTTAGAACATAATCTCGATTCGCTTTAGCTGCAGCTAATTCAGGATGTCGCACATAAACTTTGGATGCTGTTAGAAGCATTGTCGAATGCTTTTTAAGAACAGCTCTGGCTGCTGCCAAATCATCACGAAGCTGGGGATCTTTCAGTTCCTGCTGGCGCTTTGCAGCTTGATTCATCAATTCTGATGCATTTCTACCAAACTGCTTAATGTTTTCTAAGAGTTCTCCTTGCGATGATGCATTTTTTAGCTTCTCTAAGTCATCTTCAACAACATGAAGGGACTTTAGGAGCAAATGCACGTCAACCATATCAGCCAATATCAGCAATCGTGTTACTGCTGATAATAAATTCCTTGCAGCACGTACCATGTTACCACGTTTTAAGGAGGAGCAAGGATCCTCTGAAAATTCTCTATTAAACAAATAATATTTGTCAATTACAATAATATTTGTAAATTAAATTGGAGAATATATTTTGATAATTTGATATATGATGTATTGAAGATATTATTAAAACATACCGAGCTGCGATGCTCATTGCAGCGCCTGTTTTTCTTACTTCCTCAACAGCGCTAAGCATTTCGGCAGTTATGTCAGGATTCTCATAAGCTATTTGTTCTCCTTTTTCAATAAAATTAGCTGTGGCTTTTTCTACTGTACCGACTAGAGCACTAGCCCTTTTAGATTTACCCTTTTTCTTTTTGCTTGGACCTTTTGTATTGACCAATGTGGTTACTTGGAGAACCAATGGTTCTAAAGTCTTCTCTACTGACATTGTACGGATCTCCAGATTTTTGGGATCCCATTTTAGAGTTATTGGCCCAAAATGGTCTGACATATTAAATTATGTTACTGAACGATATTCTGGAAGTATAACAAAATGGAAATTTAGTTAAAACAATAAACACTATCAGTCTTGGTGAACAAGATCAAATTCTTCACCATAGCACTGCTCAGTGCATTGAACTTATATGTATTTATTATTTTAGTAAATTACGATTGTGACTGACACAAAAGAATGCTGCACTAGCATCCAAGTATTAGCTACACAACAATCCATAATAATTGAAGAACTACAGTAGTTTGCAAATAGAAATATGGATACCATTCATAAAATGTTTGTTTCTTCTATAATAAAATACTGAATCTTTTTTCAAATTTATATAAAAGCTTATATTTCTTATTTGTGACACAATCAGGTTAACATAGGGACGATCAGAAGCTATGATTCGTCATCGACAAATAAGAATTCTTTCAGTATGAATCATCAGTCAAGGAATGAAGTTATAGCAGAGAATGCTTGAAAGTTGCATAAAATAAAAGTAGAATATAAAAAGCTTGGCGTCGATGAAACATAAGTGGCTAGAGGCGTTACTTGAATTGACACATCCAAAAATGCCTACCCTCTTCCACAGGTACATAAACATTTCAACGAGTACTTTGTTTCTAATCACTATATCACTTACCTTCATGAAATGTCAGAGAATTCGTAGCAGCTTTATCCAGAGCGAGTTTGACACTTAGAGCAAATTATTTGTTCGCCTATCCCAACAATAATCTCACAATCGTTCTGAGCACAGAATTGATGCCGTCTCGATTTATCGCACACCTTTCATTCATGACGTCATTGTTTCCGCTAGGGATCGAAAGAGGGGCTTTCAGAAGGAATCGCCGGTTTACGCCCGAAGACCAATTCACATTCAGCAAAGGATGTTATTTTATATCAAAGCAGAAGTATATAGATATAAATTATTTTAATGGATTGTTTAATAATATATTAATTATTATGTCACTGAATATGTTGTAACATTTTAGTAGTGCACATTGACTTTTAATGTTTCTGTTTAGTAATTTTATATAAGTCAGTAACAGGATATAAACGAAGAATTTGGTTGGTGGTCAGTTCTAGTTGCAATGGGTAAAATCAAGAATGTTATTGGTTATACACAATTTCCAATTGACCAATAGCTATGCGTGTTAACTGTTGCTTCTTGCAATTGCAAATGATTGCAGGTAGCTTGTTGCAACTGACAGCATGGCTAAGTAGTGGTGGTCAGTTTGAAAATCATGAGTGAAGTTATTGTTTTGAGTGATTCAGATGATTCTGTTTCGACAATTGGAAAAGAAGAGCTGTTACAACAGAATGATGTTTCGAGCGTTTCTCCTGAGAGTCATTTGTGGGATGATAACGAATTTCCTGAAGTTCTCTTTGATTATGTTTCTGATAAAAATGATAAAACAAATAAACAAAAGGAATATTCCTCCGATTCAGCATTTCAATCTTCTGGTTCTAGCAATTTGGCAAGCGAAAGAAGTTATAAGTTACTTGAGAATAGTTCTGACATACGATTAAGTACGTGCACTTCTGATAGTAACTACAATCTTGAAGATGTACTGGTCAAGAAATATTTACGTCTACCTACCTCTTTGATTTCTGAGTCTCGAACAGCAAGCAGTTCTTCATACGAAAGCCAAGGCAGATCCATTGATACTAATGAAAAATATTGTACGGCTCGAAAACCTTTGAAAACAAGTAACGATGGGAGAGAGAGACTCAGAGCAGAAAAACTTCAGAGGCTTGAAGATGCAGCTAAAATAAAAGCTCAGAAAGTTGTAACTGTTAGAAATATGAAGAATATTCAGTCTGGAGAGTGTATGAAATTTATGAAAGTTATTATAGATGAGAGTCTAGCCAATTTTGAGTTCTATGCAGAAATTATTGTTACTTTAGAACATGCTGATTTAGCTCATGATACAAAGTCCCAATTGCTTCCTCAAAGTATAAGATGGATGAGAAATGTAGAGAAATATTATGTAGATAAAAGTAATACGGTTTCTATGAAAATGAATACACAAGATGAAGATCATGTTATTGTTATTTGGAATTGGGATGATACAGTTAACAAAATTGCATGTAATACTTTTTGTGCCGCTGTTGTAAATATTAAAGAGTTACTTTGTCAAAAAAAGGTAACATTAGTTGTATTTGGAATAGAAGAATACTTTAAGTATCATAAAAATTTGAAACGAGCTGCTGTGAAAGGTGCAGTTGTGAGTAATAATTCACATAGAAAAAATAAAAGTACCAAGAAATTTGGGGATTTTCCAAAAATATCTAGGCGAGATCTTGAGACGTGCTTAACAGAAATTCAAATAACAGCTAACATCAACAGTAGATTAATAGAAACTTCCCAAGACTTGAGTTTGATGATTTATCAGTATACAAAAGCAATAGCAGAAATTCCATACAAATTAGAAAAGAGACAAGCATTAGAAGAAAAGGTTGATTGGTATGTTGCTGGTGATAACAGGGATACAGTCAAAGTTGATAAGGATGGTAATGGTTTAAAAAGACTTTGGCAACAACAACTATGTCAATTTAATCTATCCAGTTTGGAAACAGCTGATGCAATTTGTTCTGTATACTCCAGTCCTATGCAGCTTCTAGAAGTAAGATGTAAAAAAAATTTTGTTATGTCAATACAGTAGAATATTATATACATGATATACTTTAACAAAACTCTCATTCCTTTTTTTACAGGCTTATATGAATTGCACGCCAGAGGAAGGTGAAATGTTATTAAAAGATATTCCTGTAAGTCTATTGTCAAATTTTAAATAACTCAAATAAAAATCGAATATTAAAAATTTCGTGAATCACTTAATTGTTTGTACTCTTTAATTTTTTAAAAGTTTTGCTAATTGTGTGTTCATCCAGAATAGATATAATTTAATATAATTATGGTTATTTCAATAGATAAGAAGAGCAGCAGGGCCGCTTACAACGGTTCGAAGAATTGGTCCAGAATTAAGTAAAAAAATTTATATCATGTTTACTTCAAAGGATGGTGAAACTTTTCTAGGCAACGATTAATAATATTCTTTCATTTATGCACACAGGATGACTGTATATTGATAATAAATATATATAGTATACATCAATAATATCAATACAATTTTATAAAGATTAGTTTGCTAAGTTATACATATACAAAATTTACACAGTTAATGTAAATCAAATATTATTTTACTGTAAATAAAGGAATTAAATAAATAAATGTACTGTACTGTGTACTCACCTATATAAAGAAATACTAAAAAGGTCTCAATAGGAAAAATAAGGGGGAAAAGTATTGTAAACCTGTTGTTCTCCTTAACATAAATTTTGTAAATTAAATATACTTTAAGGACTTTTGAAAATGTCGATTTTTAATTTTTGCTGCACATTTCCCAAAACATGATTATTCAACCCATAGATATTTACATAATTCAAATATATAATATAATTTTCATAATTTATATGTTATTCAAGAGAAAGAAATATTTTCAGTCTAAAAACAATGGCATGTTTCCATGTAAAATAGTAAATACATACCAATATAATTAATCGCGTTATAGAAATTCCTTTTGTTTTAAAATAATATAGTAGATGCGCAAATAGAATGTGAATTGTAGGATACGATTTAACATAGGCAGTCGTTGGAAGATATCCATAATATGTATTCCATATACATTTAACTCATGGATGGATTATAGTTTATATAACTGAATATTTAGGCGAAAATGGTATAAAATATTTTCTTTTATATTTTATGCTTTACTATAATCCTTTTTGCACACGTGTAGCTCACGTATGAATATTATCTATCAAGATTCATTAATTTAATGTACAGTGATATTTACATATATAAATTATGAATACCGAAAAATATGTAGAGCGCAAATGTACACCGGTTAAAAGTATTCAAATTTCATGAAACGTTTACTTATAGTTTGTTTGGAAGATGAATAAGAATTCTAAAAGAACTGACATACAAGCATTTGAAACAGAATAGTTATTTTTTATCCAAATTTTTTAAACACGTAAACTTGGATTTACCATTCATACAAAATAATTTGTAAATAAGTATAATTTGACTACCCACGACATATCACATTTGAAATTTAAAAAAATTATATGTAGTATATAAAATTGCATATGACATTTATCGATTAAGTGTCGATTTTTACAACGTTTTATTACCCTGGGTAGTACTTAAATGGTTGGAAAAATAATTAAATAATGCAAAGGATGATCAATCCTTCAATTTAAATGATAAATGATAATCAACGAAGGTCATTGAAACGTTCAAAAAAGAAATATTTCGCATTGTAATTTCCTTCCCCGTATCTACATCTCATTCATTAAATTTCGCTTAAATTTAACCCTGCATTTAACCCTTGATTTTTGTATCTATAATCATGTGAAGTTACAGAACTATAAAACCGCTAGTCTGATTCTGACGTTTAGCTATATTAATTAAAGATAATAAATAATTACGTAAATCAGCAGAAACGTAAAATGTTAGGGTGTCGTCCGGCTGTGGAGCCGCGATTTCGGATGTATCAGATTGTGCGTCGCTATTCGTTGGCAAACTTCCTAGACCAGTACTACTCGTTCGTACAAACTCCTCCACTCTCGCTCTCATTTCTTGATCCATCTAAGAAACAAAAGGAAAATAGAAGACTTAATAGTAAATACAGACTATACTCAGGTGTTTATTTAACAGCAGAGTTAATTTAAAAACAATGTACCTCGTGGTGTTCTGTTGGTGAAACAGGTCTAACCGGTTGAGTCACTGCAGGTGGATAGTATAAGCACAGCATAGTGGATTCTGACGGATGATCAAGGCTGGTCAATTCACTCAGTGGGAATATCTTCTCCACACTATCTTCCACGACATCCACTAATAGTAAAGCTTGTCGTGTCAGGACCAACATTACTGCCTGATTGCTGCCTTGATGAATAACGCGATCAGCACTGGCTACGTGTAGGATGCTATCATTACCATTAGACAGTAATGGCATGAGGCGCCAAGCGTATCTTACAGAGGCGTTATTGCTACCAGTAGAGTATTGGACAACTGGTCTTTGTTTTGGCTGTAAAAGTATATGGCAATGATATATAAATTCTCTTTGAACGTCTGTAGTGCACTTATGTGTAGCATTGCCTTAGATAGATTGTTAAAAGATTCTCCTAGTTATGCAGTTGGAGCATCTACATAATAATATTACTTACAGATGGTAGAGAATTCCATCCAGCACCTTGTAACAATCCTTGTCCAGTAAGAGCGACAAGTTCAGCAGCACCGCTTAAAGGTTTTGTAACTACTCCAACTAAGCCAAGACCAACTCCTGTTACAAGTCCCCTAGTTGTTGCTTCTCCTGACCATACTTGTTGCAAAGGATGATGAGCTAAACCAGCTACGGCCGCTATTGATATAACATTTTAATTAGTTACATTATACTTAGAAGCAATACTAATATCTAAACATAGTATGTCTCTGTGAAAAGGGAAATATGTATAATGAAATAGGTTCTAAGAATCTACAGCATGTATTTATTTATTACCAAGAAGACTCATTCCTAGTCCACTGAGTCCTTGATAAAGTCCTTGCGCCATCCCTTGCGGACGCATTCGTCGAGATTCCTCTTGTCGCTGAAGATGTTCCTCATCCAGTGTTAATCTGTCCAAATTCCTAGCTACACTGGATGCCAGCTTTGTAACGGAATTCACTGTGCCTAAATATAAATTGATACATTTATCTAAGAATCTTGTAACCAGTGTAACGTGCCTTATCGAGCAAAGTAATACCTGCGGTGACGTGTTTCATAAGACTGGCAGATCCATGTGTAATTCCAACTAAAAATCCCCAAGGTCCTTGTAGTAATCCTTGAAATGGTAGAGAGACGAAGTCCCTTAGACCAGAACCTAATGCTTGTGCTAAACCTCCTGGCGATCCAAGAATCTCCAAGGAACCAACTACCCACCCTAAATATCATATAGTAATATTAATATATAAAAATATGTACAATTATAGTGAAATATTAATTCTCACCAGCTCCAAATATAGCGCCTGACAAATAATGCATTATAAATGCATTTCCAAGACGATACGGGGTAGTTAAAAGATTCTTCCTTTCAAAGGTACCAAAATATAATGGCGAGTGATCCAGTGCGACATAGAGTCGGACGGAAGTGTGAACACTCAATAAAATTGATACTGGTTCTATTACAAAACTTTGAATTCGCAACGGAGTACTTAAGATTTTAGCATCTATCATTATATAATCAGGTATATGAACAGTCATAGAAGTATGATACTGATTTTTCTTTCCACCATCCAGTGGCATAACAAAACAAGGTGGTACCAGAGATGTTGCATAATCTAGAAGTTGCGTTATGTACGTGTCTTCTATGTAAGCACTGATAGGTGATACTCTTGTTCGAAGTTCTTTACAAGCTAAAAAAAGTATCAATTATTTTAGCATTACTATCAAGAAACTCGGTCGAATTTCGCACAAAGTACAGGTTACATTTGCTGGTGATATAGTATGTAGGTATACGTACCACTTGTTCGTCCGTCGATTTCCCAAAGATAATCAATGGCAATTAGTGAGTTCTCTTTGATCTGGTAAATATCATTGTTGAAACGATTGCTTAGACAGAATGATTTCTCTTTTCTTACACGTGGATTTTGACTTATTAAAACGACAGGAAAGTCAAAGCCTCCTTGGTCGAACATTTGATTATCTAATTGCAAATCTCCTATGTATACAGATAGGGAGCGTAGGTTGGAAATCGATTCCACGTTAACGAATAAGTCAGTAATATTCAAGCTCGCTACTTCGATTTTTTGAGCATTCTCATTAACATCTTGTGTTATCACTACTGTGATACCATGAAGGAACACTGTGACAGAGCCTTCCAAAAAATTAGATTCTTCAGATTCTGCAATGGGTTTCAGCTGATCGTCATTCACATGGGACGTAGTGGTTTGAACTCTTGGACGCAATGTTAGATTTAATTGAGAAGATGCTGTAGACTCTGTTCCCGATATCTCTTCCTGTGCTGAGAAAAAGCTTGTTGCAGATGTGGAACTTGGCGAACTCTACAAATTAACGATCGTTGCTCTTAATTGTAGACGAAGAAATTGATTATATCACATTCATGATAGAATGAAGCATAGATTTGGTAAATAATAGTTAACAAACATGTATCATTCCTAGTTTATATGGTATAATAAACTCACGTGGATATTCAATGATGGTTTCTCGTTTTCTGTATGAGCAAGTGATCGTTTATATACTATATCCACGTTTTGAGATTTTTCATCATTTTGTTGTAGTCTGCTTCTAATATCTCGGGCTGATATTTCCACCTTAAACAGATGATAATACTATATACAGTTTTCTCCAAATTAAAGACCTTGAATACTGAATGGAATTATAAAATTTACCTGTGATATGGGTAGAATGTTTATATAGGTAGTGTGGCAACGAGTGTGCATTATCAACTTCACATCACCGTATGAGGGTATTCGCAAATACTGATCAGATGGTATGGATGTTGATGATATATTTATCCCACGGGACCATGTAAGTGATTTGTCGTCTAAAAATCATAATGGAGAATATAGCTTTAAATATATTAGTGGTAGCGACTCTCATACCTGTTGACTCATCGTCATCATTTGAGGCTGCTGTCAACAAAATTGTTGTATTAATTGGTGCCGAAGTGTCAGGTAATCTGCTACCCACTGCAGGTAGAGAATAATGACAAGTTCCACCATTTTCCACTTCGCAAATCCAAGAGAAATGTGGAGTTTCAGATATTATTTCATCTAAAACAATTATGTCAAAAATAATTAATTTAATATTGATATATCATAACAAACAGGTATGGAAAATATATGATGAGACAAACAACTTTGGAAAATATAACTTAGATACACATTTACCTGCATTAGGATTAGCTTGTCCCAGTAGAATTTTGAACGGACAACCATTATAAATTAATAACTGTGGATTATTATCTGTGTGAACCATAATGTACATAGTGCCCTTATCCTCCTGAGTTGTCACCACTACTGCCATTGTCGTATAACCATTCTGCAAAGCAATTTCAATAACGAATATTAATATTAATCTAAAAATAAAGTATTCTTTGCAGGTTGCTACAAAATTAATGATTTACTTACAGGTATCGCGAGACATCTTCGACTCATACCTTGGTCCACCCTGATTGGGCAAGACCACTGATGACCTAAACTCAATGAAATATACAAGGCAACTGGTTCTGCATTATGTTCACCATATAGAGTATGCCATTGCACTATTGGTGTTGCTTGTCTGAAAAATAATATTTTATTTTAATAAGTCATGTCTTGAAAAACACTAGCGATAAAAATGGCTCTAGTATTAAACAAAAGTAGGTTATTGCATTTGATTCAGAAGGTTGTAAGAATATACCTCTGGTCTTCAGATGGTAGGACATTTACACTGTATGGAGTGAGATCTGCTGGTAGACGTAAGTTAACGGATGTTTCATGAACAGCTAAGGTAGCAACACATAATTCTTGACTTGTGATATTTCCAATAACATGAGTACTAGTTACTCGTATTAGTCTCATATCCTCATGCATAATTGAATTAATACTCAGCATACAAAGCTATATAAAAAATTGATATTTAAGACATACGCATAATTTTTTGTCATAATGATTTTTTTTTCATTATAATAAATTTATGAACTTACACTAGAAGCACAATCCACTGTTGTTTTTATGTTCCCTTCAACTGGGATAAGACCACCAATTCTGGGCATATAAAAACTCTGACTCCAATCAGGTCGTGCTAATTGAAGTGCTTGTGAAGTGTAATAAGTATCACCGATTCCAACACCCAAATGAAAAGTACTCTGTCAAATTTATAACAATAGTCTACAATACTGCAGCACGTATAAGTGAATAAACATTAATAATAATATTTGGTAGACATTGAGATGAAATACAATAAGCTTCAAATGAAATAACTACTAATTATTTAACATCTCTGAAAATTACTCACTTCTAACTTTGGTGGTGTGACGATCCCGTAGTGAGGAATTTGACAAAGTTCTATATCTTCCGAGACAAGAGAAATATGACATCCTAACGAATTAAGGATAAAACACCATGGCTGTAACTCCAATAATAGTGTACTTGAAACAAGACCAGCATCCTGATATTTCACCTAAATTAATTTTTAATATTTATTAAATGTTATTATGTCAGCATTACATAATATCTTTTTTTATACGTAATCATCACCTTTTGATTAATTATTATTCGGTATGTACCTGTACATGAGTCTGCGGTTGTTCTGCAGGCATCCATTCATAAACATCATCTCCCTGAAATGGCCATTGTTGATCTTCAGTCTGACTATCTAATGCTTTTAGAATAGCTTCAATGTCTTCATTTTCAGGCCTTTTAAAAAATTTACGTTGGTCCACGGAACTATATGATAATGGCACATACGGATTTGATGCAGAAATTCCACTTCTGTAAATAAAATAAAACATTTATTTCATAGTGTAACGTTAGGTGTCATTGTTGTCTAAATAAAATGTCGTACTCCAATTGAAAAGTCAATTGATGAAAATGTTCGGATGTTCCTGGACAATATAATTGCTGCCGTTCTCCACGACCATTAACAGTTGTGCTTAATGAAACTTTTAGGGACGGAGTTTCCATTTGGACCTTTGCTGGGACTGGCAAGTGAGAACGGATCATATAAAGTGGACTCAATACAGCCTATAATAACAATAATTATTACACATTCCTAAAAAGTAAATGAGCAAAAAAATTGAATAACAAATCACTTACAAGAATCTTAGTTTTTCCGTGAATTACTTGATTTACTATTCGTACCCAAATACTTAAAAATTGTCCACGCTCTTGTAATGGCACTGCAAAGCAATTAACAATATCAGTATAAAATATTTGCAAGTTCTAACGAACGTATACAATTCTTATTCTCATAGCTACTGTTATGAAAGATTTACCTTTAACAAGCCAAGGTTGACTCCATTTTGTATTAGGCAGTAGCGGAATATCTCCTGTCCATGACAAATTGGATAAACTAGAAAATCGTAATCGTATCGCCATATTTGCATTATTTTCCAACACAATAGACGGTGGCTGACTTTTTCCCGATATGTTAAAAACACCTTTTGAAGGTACTGGCTTACTACCAGTTTCCGTCTCATGTTTGACCAGTTTCATTTCGAATCGATCAATTAGTTGATTAGAGATAATAAGTTGGCCAGAGAAAGTAATAAGTTTCTGAGTGGCGGACAATGAAGTAACGTCAACGCAAATGGTTATGTCTTTGATAGCATTACTGAATTCAATCATTTGCAGGCCATCTTTTTTCACAGAAAACGGATGACTCCATGCCCAAGCATTGTCCTCAACAGCTACACGAATAGTTTGATTATTCACATGCCGCCATGAGTAAAAATGGCACTGTCTGCTTTGCAGCAATATATTATCATCCGTACTGGTTTGTCCAAATCGAATGGGAATATTAGTATCATTGGCAATAACATAACGTGTCATAATAACAACGTTCTTATCATCTTCATTCAACGCTCTTGCCCATAAATATGCCGAAACAGAAAGAGTATGTATAATGGCAGGACTTATTCTTAGAGAAAATGGATTGCATGTTACTGAAACATTCATTTTTTCTGACATGGATAATTCTACTTTTCCTTCTAATGGATCTAATGTCTCGTGCATATTTAATAGTCCATAATCCAATACACGAATACTCAGAGTGCCACCCACATCAAGCATCAAACCTCCATTACTCCATCTATGGAGTACAATTATGGCTTCCTTATGTTCCAAAGACATGAAGCATTGCGTTTCCGGTATCATACTGTTCAGAGTATAATTGTGCAATGGTTTAGGTAGATCATTGTAAAGAAAGGCATCGATATGATTGTAAAAAGCTATATGAATAGCACTGATATTCAATGCAGCCTGTAGGTTTGGAATTATTGTAGGATTGAAGTAAGAATCGATTCTTAAGCAGGCTGCAAGAGCTCGTGCAGATACAAGTGAAGAATTTCCTTGTGGTGCTAAGACAACTCTCCATACACATGCTACTGCTCGACCTGGTGAATTGTCTGGCAAATCCAATCGGTAACTATCAGTTTCGGATAAATAAAAGTCGACATAGCGTTGATAACACGTGTGACTTTCGCTCCAATACTCTACAGTACATGGAACTTTGGTATTTGCGACGTCCTCGTTACTGGATGTCTGCAAAGCATAAATTACATAGAGTAAACGTGCCATAGTATTTTAATTCTAGTTCATGGATAAGTTATTTAATGCTTAAAAGTTAATTAGAAATTAAACAATTACTTTAAATGGTACTGGGGACACGTGTAATCTGGTGAGAGTCCTTGGCTGTGGGTATCTCCATGCCATAGCTTGTTGAGGATGCGTGAAGAATACCACCTTCAATAGGGATTTATATTTAAACAAAATTGTAAAAAATACAAAATTCATATCTTAAAATTGGTAATATAGTAATTGTAATTGCATTCAAGGCATTTTTCATACCTGATATGGGAATGGTAGTTCGTCTGCATTTCCATCAATGAATTGAAAGGCTCCAGCCTTTAAATCATCTTTATAATGCTGTTCAGACATTCGTCCACTTTGAATTTCAGTTATTTTATTTTCCACTGCTTGTGGGATAAACTGCCGTAATATCATTTGACAATCATCAATAACTGTCTTAACTATTTTTATTTGTTCAGGTCCAAAATCGAAATAGATACTATCACTGTCTGCTTGAATTTGTATTTGAGGAACAGAGTCAGGATCCTGCCATGCCTCCCAAACCAGGTACACTGTGATATTACAGCACCATGGGTTTAAAAGAACTTTAATCTTTCCGTCTAATATTACTGATATTATGAAAGAGTCTAGCGCTAGATTTCCATAAATTCTTTCGGGCCTGATAGCGTTAGATATGTTTCCGGAAAGTGCTGAAAAGCTGATCATCGTTTCGGATCCCGAATCGGTTACCAAAGACAGAACAATTTGTTTTGTAGTCAGATTGATGTTCGGCACGTTATATTTTTTGGATTTTATTGATGTCTTTTGTGGTAGAATATCATCTTCACTTGCAACTTTTGAAGGTGTTACAACGACATTTACGTCCGAGAAGCATGCTAAAACCTATTTGAGAAATATTAGATGTTCAAATTTTGAAATAAAATAGTCAAAATTGATTTTGTACGAAAATATAACAGTGTGTACCTTATTTCTTATGGAATCAATCTGATTTAGTCGAGATAAAGAACAGTGTACTTTTGTAGGGCGTTCCATATTTATAAAGAATTCCGGACTCTTCCCATGACTTTGTTGGCATTTCACGATAAGGAATGATGGTGGAATACCAGTGTCAGGATGAGGATCGCCGTTCTTTGTCTCAATCAGATGAATTTTGAAGTCCGTTGGATTGGGAATTGATGTCAATTCCTGAGCGTCATCGTCACCAAGTGATATTGCTATATCGAAGCAAGAAACCTACAGTAAAGTACAGGCATTACTGTGTTTCAGCATACAAAAAATCATTACACGAATAAATTATTATGAGTATTGGATAGTTACTTGTACTTTTTTCATTGAACGTTGTTGAGAGACATAAACATTTGGTTGATTGATCATTACATATAATAATGGTTGTTTGATGTTGGTATTATCATCTTCATCGACCTCGTTAATATCCTATATTAAAAAATAATGCATCAGTATTATTTAGAATAAATGATTTTTAAAATAAGTTCATAGTACCTACCATAAGATATTCAGTGTTGGGGAGAGCTTGCTGTGCTTCATACAATACGAACGTAACTTTACCACAGTTGAATAAGAATTCGTACGGTGGCAATGCAGAATGTTCATGAGGTAAGGATTTACAGCCCTGAAGTGAAAAATATGAGTTACAATCATTTAAAGAGAAAAATGATTAATAGACAAATATAGTATTGTTGGTCATACATTGCAATATATGTAAAAAGGATTTAAAATATTACTGCCAAATATACATACGACGATTGTGGAATTGACGCTAGACATTTCAAAATCTACGCCACTGTCCTTAGTAAAATCTGCATCTGCATCATCAAAAAGTGGCTTCATACGAGAAATATTTGTTATGTTTGCTGTGAATTCATTATGTATTCGTTGAAAACTTTTCCCTGGCGAAGACGGTATATCAACAACTTCATAATCCTCTGAATATCCAATTAAGGTATCTTTTAGTTCGCTAAAGAGGATAGATCCAAGCTTGATTTGATCTAAGTTAATTGTGACTTCTATATCAGTGAGGCAATTTACTTCCACAGCATTACCACAAACAATAGTGTCAGGTTTGTATATAGTTGCTGGTGCAACTATCAGGCAAAGGTCAAACCTATGTTCATATAACGAAATTGTTCAATGTAATAATTATTTAATTATGTTTTATAGTACTAACTGTCATTTTGATATACAATGTATTTTTATTTTAATTCAAATTTGTACTTAACAATTCTTCAATTTTACCTTGTGATCATAGGGAATGTAGAGAAGTGTGGTTCTAAGCTGCTTCCGTTTCCAAGTTTGTTCCATTCTAGTGCAGGATTCTCATTCATAGTATACAAGTACGATTGTGACATTCTCTACAACAGAAAACAAAATCATCAAATAAGTCTATGTAAGAATCAGAGATAATGCAACAATTGTAAATATTACAGAATAAGACAGTCGATAATTTTAGCTACCTTTGTTACGCTAACTTGATAGTTTTTCCACATTGTTGTATAAGCACATACACCCTTAATATTTATTTGATATTGTCGATCTTCAACAGCCGATCCTGGCACATTCAGTATGTTTGCCTGAGCGGCTAACTGATAAATATCTGAACGGAGTGGTGTTCGGCATATGGGATTTTCTGCGTGTGGTGTAATAACAATACCGTCCAACTATATTTCATAATTAATTACACAAATTATTAGTTAGATATTATATCAGGAAAGCTTTTCATTTAGAACTTAATATAATACAACCTGAATCATTAATAAATCATGAAGCAATCCATATCTTGCCGTCGTAGATCCTGGTAGCATGAGCCGGAAGCCTTTAAATTCCAAATATATTAAAGGCAATGAATCGTTACTTAAACTGGTAACGCCGACTATGGGGGATGAAACTGTTTTTTCCTGAACATCCATCGCAACTTTAGTTGCAGGATTAATAAGACGTGTAAATGGTTTGACTAGTTGCATATACTTTGCTAATATGCTCAGTGGTAGTATGATATCCATCATTTGCATTTTAATGACTATTTCACTTATGTAGCGGTTTGTGTGGCGTATGGAGTCCGATTTGAAGTCATACTATTAAATTAAAAGTGTCATCTGGATAGTTAGATTATACTGGGGATATATAATTAATTTAATCAAATATAACTATCATTCTTACATCCTGAGCCTTGTTTTGTCTATGCGCACCCCAACGGGTATGCACATTACCAGATTTAGCCCTTGTAAGCGTTAGACTGAAGAAACCAGAATCTTCACCCTTTTCTAATGTATCCTCCCGTCCGCACATAACTAAACCTCCGTAGTCCCCAAGATCCCAATTTTGAGCTTGAGGTGCTCTGGCGACAATATATACCATTAATCAAACAATAAGAGCAAAGAAACAAAAGGGAAACATTTTAATATATTGATTTTCAAAAATATTTAATGTACCTTGTGTAGTGAAAAACTGTAGCAGTTGTGATTTTATTCTTCAGTTTGAAGTAAACTGGTTGTAAATCTAGTGACGTTATAATATCCTCCAATTCCAATACTGATTTAAGAGATGAATTTGTCAACTGTCCCATCACATACAACTTCACAGATACTTTTGTAATTGTCCATTGTATCCATGCAGTTAATGTCAAATTATTCTGTTCTGAAAATGTAAAGTAAACGCCATGTTCGAACTGTAAGTTATACACTTGCATATAATATAATTTTAATTTTACCTTGCTCAGATTCTTCTTTAGATGTGGAAATGGTGGAAGCTGTGGTAGTATCTTCCACAAATGAGATGTGAGAATGTTGTGATACTTGCATTATATTCAACACCGTTAGAGCAATATTACTCATGAACGACACCTACATTATATAATAGTACATTTTATACTGAACGTTAGAGTCATTTACCGCAATAATTCATGACAAAAAATGTTTAGTTACAATTTTAATTAAATACCTGTTCTTCGGATACTGAGATAATTATAGGCGAAGTGTCTACATGAACGCACAAGGCAAGAGCCGTTACATTATTTTCCGATGTTGCGTTAGTTGCAGGTAATGTATCATTTGTTTGAGCTTTTGTTGTAAGGCCAATAGTTGCATTTAACGACACTTTTTTAATGAAATTCATTGATGTTTCTTTCTGAAGTGTATAACAGTGAAAGTCGTTGATGGTCAAGGTCCATGGAAAGCTTTGTGTTTCTGCAGATGGAAAGATAAGAGATTCACCATAGTTTTACATACTTGCTATTATTCAGTTATGAAATATCACGTAATAAATGCTTTTAATAATAAGCACTCACGCGTAGTCCATATAGCTTTTGGCAACTTTACTGGGAGCACCTTCAAATAAGGCATCAACATTTCTGGCTGCACATTCACCGAATGCACAAGAATAACTGGCAATTTTATAACCAAAATTTGTAAATTTGGTATTTCTTGTAAAGCCCGATCCTTCGCCTGTTCTATACCTACAGTATATAATAGTGATTTTTTTGTATCAAACGCATTTCCATTAGTTCTAATAACTACTGTTCGTGCATACCATGTACACCAATTCCACTCATTGTCTCTGTTGGAATATAAAGAATTATATGTCCAATATGACCACTTAATACAAGTCCCCGCCACCACGGATATAATTTGATCATAGTGATCAATATTCCTGTTTTCTGTAAATTCCATTACGAATTATTACGCTTTCTATTATGAAATTTTGTTATAGAACTAAAATGAATGTGTCTACCTCTTGAGTAGTAATATCATCGCTCTTTTCTATACACTTCTGGGATTCTTCGAGTTTAGAGGCAGTTTTCGAGTCGTCTGTCATGAGAACTGATTTCCTTCTTTCCTGATCGGATGAACTGTGGACGCTTTCGTGTAAACTTGGAAAATTCTTTTTTCGCGTACCAGTATCTGAGGATGTACCCTCAACTAAAGATTGCTGATTCTCTAGACGTGGAGCCTGTGTTGTACCCACTTTATAATAAGGAACTTGATATTGTAACCATTGACAAAGAAGAGGGTCCAATGATCCTCTTATTTGAGCAGCTTGAAATGAAATAACTGGTGGATGTATCTGTTTTGCAGGATCTCTTGAAAATTGCACTATAGCCATTAATAATGCTTTACTGTCTTCCTCACTATAAATTATGCAAATCTCGTTATAAAAAGACAGATATGAAAATACAGTAGCAAATTACCTGTCATCGTCACTTTCTGGTCCTGACATTATGATAGCCTGTTGCGAGTCATTCAGAGCAAAGATTTTGACAGACGTAATATTTACAATATTGGAAATTATCGCCAAAGATGCCATGCATTTGAAATTAATATTTTCAATGGATACCTCAAGATAAATTGGATCTATAAATAACAAAGTTTTTTTCCAGAATATGAAGGATACAAAATATAAATTATGTTAATATTCGAAAGTTCAAATTACTTACTATTCTCACGACAGGCATCAGAAAGAAGAGAAGAGCATTCAAGTGGATTTGTCATATCTAGGGGATTCAAAATAGAAGTCACCATCGAACTGGCACAAATAAGTTTTGCTTTGGTCCCTGTTATGGTTACAGCATCGATCTGAATGGAATGTGATACATGGATAAGATCCAAACTCCTCCAATATTGAGGGTATAGAATGCTTTTCTGGCTGTATTCTGCCTTACAAGGCATAACTATTGATGTGCGACACTTATTTGTTAACCGTAATTGACACCTTAAACCTTGTACCTATATAAATAAAATTTATTCTTATTAATCATTACTATCGGACTTATCATTTTATAATCTCTTTACCTCTGCATCGATAGTTCTATGACAGTAATTGAACATGTCTGGAGAAATATCAGTTTGTTTGGATGCACACGCAATGAGTCTAAATGGATACATTGGTTGTTCTATGTTTACATTCATTTTGTCCCACTCTACAGTTAGAACTGGATCCTCGGTAAGTGCTGGACTTAACGGTGCTGTCTATAATATAGATAATGATAGATGATTAAGTGATGATACACTATAATTGCATTCTTAATACAATTCATTAATATGGGTACAGGGATTTCTTATTTACCCGATTATCAATAAATTTACGTGGTCGAATTTGACTCGTAATACGATGGTTACTTGCTTGCAATTGTAGTGCACATTTTACTAGAATCACTTTCATTTCCACCATAGATATATTTTCGCGGAGTGCATCGTATTCTTCTACCGTTACCGGTGGTAATTCATCTATGGTTGGTTCTAAAATAATAATATACCAAATAGTTGAATAAAAGAAGTTTAATTAAAAATTTATCTTTTTCAAATTTGTGTGTAATATGAAACACTGGTTTTATACCTGGTTTGGGAATGATGTAGGGACTATAATCATATTTCATTGCAGCCTCTTTCATAGTTTCAATTCGATGAAATAATCCTGAACACAGTCTTATTATTAAGTCTCCAATAACGTATCTCATTACACGACGTTCATGAAAATTGCTGCAAGTTTTATAAATATATTTGATTAAGTACAATATAAAGTCAATGATACCTTAAATGGTTTTTCATTGCCTGTTACTGGTTCGTCCTCTACTTTTAATGAATTCGATAATAATTACTAAATAAAGTAATGTACCTGTACTCAAAGTTAGATCCCAATTCGGATAATCTTTCTGGCGTAATGTCATCAGGTAATTCAATATGATGAACATAATCCATGACAAGAGCTGGACATCTTTCTAATAAACTTTCCACTAAAACAGTTCAATATAAATATGAACATATCTATAAATATAATAGTTCTTGCAACTTGTTAATTTTCGCTCGTGGTTCGAAAGACGTGTACTCAATTAATATTTCATCATATCAGTGTGTAAATTATCAGTTCAAGAGTTAATTTACGTGCAATAAGGGACCATGATTTTAAATGTAATGTAAAAAATTATGTTACAAAATAAATTTAAATATTAGCATATAGTACATAAATATATAGCTTACCAGAAACAGTAGCTAAATGATAATCAATTCCTTGCTTGTATTCTCTCTTTTTACCCTTATTTTCCACAGCATCGTCATCGAACAAGGAGTCTTTCAAATGATTTGTTTCGAGTTTTCCGGCAACTAGATAGAGTGGTGGCTAAAACATAATAATTTCCCTTCTTCAAAACTATTCATATTGAAACCAAGTTTGTTTAATGATGATTACTAAACCTGGGCACCGTCTATGATTTCTGCAAATCCACAGCTACACATTCCTCTTGGATAAAGCTGTATACTGCCTAATCCAACTTGAAAGGTAGTCATGGTAATGCCCTGTAGTAATGCATCTATAACGACACCCGTTAATCGTAGCGAAAGAAATGATTTGTATCTGATTTTACGTGACTTATAAAACAGTTGTTCTTTCACACTATCGATAGTCTGTGAAAAACCAAAACATTTTTTGTTATAAAAACAGTAATGTTTATGAAAAGAAATCTGAATCTATAATTCAGTTTGCAAACAGAAACTTACCTTAAACGTTACAGTGGCATTATCCACGTAAATACCAAGATGTATTGTGTGTCCTGAATAAGCCATCTGTTGTTCACTGGACCAATCATTATCCCAATCAACAGGTAAAAACGATGAGACTACATCCCATGCCCAGCCACCCCATGTACCACCTTCCGAGGACATACCCACATCTTCGTCCAGTTCGTCTAAAAATTAAATGAAATATTTTTATGAGAATAAAGAAAGTAAATTCATTGAGATATATGCAGAATTATTAGTGCAAAACCTTGTGAAGCATTTTCTCTTTCTTCTACTGATGTCAGCGATCTTTCTTTGCTGACTGGTAATTGCTTGGACTGTAAAGCAAGTATCAATGCGACTAATCTAAGTAGCATAGGTATTTGCTGTTCGGTCATACTGAATTCCATCTTTTCACAGTGAAGATCTAATCGAGTAATGGAAGCACGCTTAGCTGTGTTGCTATGATAATTGATGATTAGACGTATCATCATTGAGCATCGGTATAATACAGGGTCCTATGACAAATTTCACAAGTTTATATTTTGTTTTAATTATAGCTCAATATTAAGCAAAGATTGAAGTCATTGACTTACTTGATAAACTTCTATCTTTCCTGAAGCATCCATTTTATCTAGACAGAGCGTTAAATCCTGTACAGTAATAATCTTTCGTAGCATAACTTCATAACTACTCACATCTATAAACGTAATAACACAATTATAATTCTATAAAGATGTCTTGTCAGTGACGAATATATGGTCTTATTAAAGTTTACCAGTGAACGTTGGTTCCCATTTGTCATTAACTGTTTGCATACTAAGAAATCGTATGTTGACACTAAGAACAATGTCTTCCTCCACATATTTTAGGATTAAATTATTGCAATTTATTGTAATGTTATTGACTACCTTAGTTACAATACTTTTAATGTAACCAGGAGGTGCTTCTTCTCTATACAACACAATATTTTTTTAATGAAATTAAATAAAAAGTACTGATTATAATAAATATGGAATATTTTATTTTTTTAAAATACTTACTGTATCATACTTCGTTTCTTTTTTTGTAAGGAAGGTGTACTATTTTCTGTCTGATTCTCATCCTTTAATTTCAAAATACACTCTAAAATAAATAATTCAGATATACATGAATAGCAGACATTCTATACAGAATGTTAACAGATATTTGTTATTCACACGAAATGCTTACCTATTGTATTTATTGTAACGACTATTGGTTCTGAAGTAATTTTCACCCAAGGGACATGAATGAGTAACTCATGGATGTGGCCACTGACAAAATTGAATGGTAAATTGAGCTGCTCCTCCAAAACCTCCAATCGTAAATCAAGATTCTGAAAAGATGCGTCTCCACCCCACAATGATACCTAAAACACATATCATTAAATTTGAATTAGACAAATTTATAAATTTAATTGTCAAGTATAAATGTAATAATACTGTTGGACTATGCAAAATATATCTTTTGCAAATAATAATTGGAAAAGGAAAAGAGTATTACTTATAATGTACTTTGTACATACCTGTGATTGCTCTGGTTTAAAATTTTTAACATATTTCTCCACATAACTGAGGATTACTGGAGTTATATATGATTCCAGTTTAAACATTGTTATTTGTTATTCAATACATCACTTATATTTCATAAATATTGTATTGACATCTGCGTAATAATACAGCAATACATATTTCTTGCATCTTTGAACAAGGTAATAGTTTGTTATATTGCTATTTTGAAAATTATATATATCTTTTGCCAGTTCAATTTTGTAATCAATTTTCACCTAAAATAAAAATTCAATATATAGAGATCAATATACTAGCACAGTTATCTTTTGGTTTAACAGAGAAGGAACAGAGTATAAATTATAATATAGTCCAATAAACATAGATTTGCTACTTTCAATGATGTTAGAGAACATTTCTTTAAAAACTAGAAGGCAATATATCCATTTAAAAAAAAGTTATGAAGATAAAATATATATTTGGCGAATAAATTGTTGATGGAACTATTATCATATTTACCATATCGTGAATGCCATGTCATATATTTATATGGTTATGACACAACCTCAAAACGACACCTTCCTAATGTATCACTCAGTGTCACTCCCTACTATACTTGCGGTATATGACATTAAAAATTAAACATTTAATTTCACATGGATGATTTACTACTGATTGACAATTTATTATTTTTTCTTGCTTTACGACTTCTAATAGATTGAAATTGGCAAATCGTTGAAACATTAAAAACAATACAATTATTAACAAATGTAGACTATACCGTACAGGTGCATTCACATTAGTGCATATATACAATTTGAAATTAAATACACCGTTCAGGATTATTGTCAATATTGTAAGCTTGCAATTTATCATTAAATTTAAATTCAAATGAAAAATATCGATAAACTTTGCTCGTTCATATAAGAATATTTGAATTCCGGATATAATAAAATAAGATTTAGTTTGATGTTTTATACATAGTATACAGGGTTAGTCAGTAGAAACGCACCAGCAGAAGTTGGTCATCCAAGTTGTTACCATCCCAGGTAGCAATTTTTTCGATGTTACGAAAAAGTCATTCGAATGGGTTACATATGTCCGCTAGAAAGTTACCTGTAAGCTAACTCATGTCCCAAAGTCATCTTTCGGACGTCGAATATCTTTAAGATACTTTTTTGGTAGACATATGTAACACATTTAGATGATTTTTGCGTAATATCGAAAAAATTGCTAGCTGGGATAGTTTACCAGCAAGGCTGGCGCATCTGCGAATAAGGTAGATTTCGATAACTAATATTATCAATATTAGAAAAAAGAATTTTCTACATGTTCTGTCGTGGAAATTAGCTTTGTTTGATGAGTGTAGTTAATAGTTTCAGTTAGTGCCATATGTAATGCTTGTGTTGCAAAGTACACGAATAATAATTAGTTAAAACTGAATTATGAGGTCGGGCAGGTAAAGCTTCTTCTTTCTTTCAATATTATTTCACAGATTACATAGATAAAAGGGTATTGTTATGGAATAATTTGTTATTTGTACGAACTGTCGTAACACTGATAGCTTACATAAACCTCAAACTGTTTAATAATATGTAAACTCAGAATTAACAGGAACTGGCACATGTCCCCTTGGGGATAAAGCCATAAGGAAAATGAAGGAAGGAAGGAAGAATGAAAATGTATGCTCAGGTACGTTTTGTACCATATCAGATAATGGAACAGTGAATATTTAAAACATCGTTTGTGCAGTGATAGGCATGTAAGTTTTATTACTCAGATAACACATATGTGTTGAGCAATAGTCATCTTTAATATGTTTAATTCAACAGAGGTTGTGTTTTAGGCTACTTACGATACTGAGTTTGTTTATTATAGTAAAAAAAATATCTTTTAATAATTACACTTTAATTGTTAAAGTTATTTTGTTGAAAAGATTTTTAACTAGTTAAGATACTTAAAAGAAGAGGCATTTCGAACTTATTTACTCTATTCTATGGATGTGTTCCAAAATCGTTCTCAGTTCATTTCAGTTATTGAACGTTGAAATTCAGTCAGTAATTCGAATGAATTCGAACATGGCGGACGAGGAAAGAGCTGTGGAGATAGACAGAAAAAAGGAAAACGAAATATCAACATTATTATTAATGAACAGAATGATGTCCAAAAGCTCTTCTTCATCCGATATCTCTAGCAGTGATCCCAAGTTAAGGCCCATTTCCTTCTATTTCCAATAGGAGCTGAGAAAAACGTGAAAAACGGTTTGAACCATACTTTTGACTTGTCCCTTACCTATGTATTGTAACGTATTTTTTTAACTCGACATCGATAACGAAAAATTCGAAAACTAATTATCTTCGAGAACCAACCAACGTTACTTTCGGCCGTCCACCCTTCGTTCACGCATCCGCAAGCCAGGCGGGCGTCAGCCAATTCTTTTATCACCGGGAACTGACAAGCCGCTATGACCTGGGGGTTGGGGTGGAACAGGCCTAAGTCTGCCAAAACAAGAGCTCCGATCGAACCTATCAGAAGATACGATAACTTAACGGATCCTGTCGATTTTTGGGGGCGCGTGAAATCGAGAAACGCTACTGTAGGTTCTTTAGCGAATCGGTACGTAACTTTTGGAGATCCTCCACGGCCGCTTCTCCAGGGCATCGGGCGACCACATCCTCAACTCGGGTCAGGGGGTTTCTCCCCTGCCCGTTATCGTAACAAAACTATCTTCCGCTCGCTCTACAAACCTTTGCTTCTCTCCAGCAGGGCACCGGTATTTTACCCGGATCCGTGGAGAAGTCTCCCTTGGGTATTCTCCTCTACCGGGCAACTCGGTACGTTGAGACTAACCTTCCACGGCAGATTCGAGCACCTCGATCTCAGCTCAACAACAACGAATCTTCTGAGAGCATTGGCGTAACTATCCGAATCAACCCGAGAGCGTAGCTTCTGAGCAGATTGGCGACTTGAAGGGAACCAGAAAGTGAGAACGTTACCTGAGTCGGTAGCCGGAGTGAGCGTGAATTGAAAAATCACATCACAACATATATACTCTTTTCCACGTCAGAAGTACTGCCCCAAACAAGAATTAGTTCTCAGTTCATTGCTCAAGATGCAGCGCTGCACCTTTTTCACGAACAGAAATTATCGCTAGCGTTATTTTCAATCACGTGACCATTTTACTGCTGAAATTGAGTTTCCGAGCGTCCACTGAAAAGGCACCTTAACGCACTGCGGCTTTCTGCCAGTGCAGTACTGCCAGTCATTGAAAACTGATTCCGGAACACACTCTATATCATAAATAGGCTTTAAGGGGTTAAGGGCCGGACTTCATTATCCTCGTATGCTATAGTTACATTTTATTTTTTCTTACAAAATTAGGAATGAATATGACATAAGAAACACACACGGCTAACTTCATTCAATATCGTTTTTCCGACGATAATTGACATTTAACGGATAAAAAGCTATTGTCAAGAATTCGTATACTTGTCGAGTACGATAAATATATTGCAGCTATGGCTAATATCTTTGCATATTATGCTTCTCGTAATTACACAATGCCCGCTATTGAGCGGCGAATTGCAGAATTATTAGAAAGAAGAATCGGTGCCTTAGAAGGATTGCCAACAGAAACTACGAAGGAACGACTCGTGCGTATGAAACTTATTGACTGATAAAAATCATAACTAACAATGTATTTTGAATTGCCCTATGATACAACGTATTGTTTACCACGCAGGCAAAGTATAAGGAAAATCGGAATGCACGACAGGGTTGGCTGAAAACGACTCATCGCCATGTTTTGGAAATGGTGGCATATATATTAAATACCGATCCGTCCATATTAGAAGAAGGAATTATCGATAAGGACGAATATGTAAATGCATTCACTAGTTTCTTTGCCGAAGGTGGAAGACAAGCAGTAGTTATTTACTATCAGCCAATGCCACCACCATCCTTTGGTAATAAGAAATATTTTAGGCTTTCAATATACCTTGTGTTTATATGTACCGGCTGTGTTTTAGATTCAGGACGTTGGACTGTGCAATATGATAACGAGCAAGAAATGTTGCGGTGCTGCGTAACAGATGGTTCCACTGAGAAATTTTGTGGGAAGTGCGTTATCGTATATCGTCTGCGATCGAATGCCGATTTTGAATTAAAACAGTTACTCGAAGTAAGTTTTAGCGGGTGATAATGAAATTTCAATTTAACTTGACATATTAATCACGATTTAATTGATACAGGAAACGTATTATGCATATGCTGAAGTGGATCCTGCGACCGGAAATGCTCTTGCTGGAATATCAGAACTTATTTCGCGTCTTAATGAACGTGCTATATCTGTTAATAACCAGTGGGGAGAGTTATCAAAAACGGAAGCTGGACTCAAGATAAAGCAGAACTTTATTGGAGACTTCAAAGATTTTTGTGATTTCTTAAACAGTAAGTATATTCGTTAGTCTAATTTATATAATTTTCTATGATATAAAAGGTTGTTATTAATTTTTCTATTTATCTGGAATTCAGTGACTAAGCTCGACTTAGAGGGTGCTGTCAAGTTTTATACTAATTGGGAATTATACAAAAAATATTTGTCAACGCCTGAAAGTGTTATGACTAACGCGAGAAATCTTGATATTATTCTTGAAGTTGAAGCTAACGTCAAATTATGGATGAAGAGTATGGAACGTGTATGTACAGATACGGAAGTCGATTATGATTTCGAACTATAGTGTACTTACGATAGGCCATCGTTGAGAGTCAGCAATTACGCAGAGAAACTGAAACAGTTGGACCAACTGCTGAACTGACATATTGGAGAAGAATTCTCGCACGGTTTTCATCGATCGTAGAGCATATCAAGTCACCATATACACAGAAATTTATTCAACTTTTGATTCAAGCTAAATCGAAGCTTATAAAAGTAAATATGCAATAGCGCCTCATTGTTTTGGTGGAAGGCGTGTAACTTATTAAATTGTATTTATCGTACAGAAATGGAAACGGTTGGATAATCATGTCACAACTGTACAGATATTATCTCAAGATAATGTACGGTATCTATATGCACTTGAAAAATTCACTCAGCCACTATACAGATTGGATCCAACAAAAATAGGAGATTATCTTTCTGGATTAATGTATGCAATAAGAATGATTTATGCGACGTCACGATTTTTTAATACAAGACGTATGGTGACGGCGGTTTTTGTAAAGGTACAATTTTAATAATTATTCCGAATCTGTTCCAGTAGGTATTATATCCTGATTTATCAATGGCTCTAAACCTGAACTATAGCGAATCTAGTTAATATATGTAACATGAATTAAATATTATTATACTAATCAATTTAATAATAATTGACATAATTCTAGATGACAAATCAAATGATTTTAGCGTGCAAAGCCTATTTGACTAAGAACGGAACGATCCAGATATGGGATGACGCTAAATGTGATATGATTTCGAGAATGCAGGTGAAGATGATGATGATTATGATGATAATAATAATTCAATATTAATAACAATTTTTATCTCAATCAGAATTGTATGAAATTGTATCAGCAGTATTACGACTGTTACAATAAAATGCGTAAAAAGGTAAAAGAGTGTCCAGACGAAAAACCCTTTGAGGTCTCTGAAATGTACGTTTTTGGAAAATTCAAAACATTCAATATAAGAATGAATAAGGTAATTGCTATCTATTGACTATCTATTGACGTGATTCAATATATCTACGCAAATAAAACGTCGCATGTACGAATGAATTATTTCAGCTGATAGACGTTTTACAATCTGCAATCATGTACTCTATTCTGCACAGTTCAACTATAGAAGGGATTGATGTCTTTGCACAAAAGTTTTCCGGGTTTTTCCAAAAAATTGCGACGCAGTCTTACGATCCCCTAGATCATAGAAAACCGTATTTTGATTCGGACTATGATGAATTTAAGAAGAGTGTCATGGAAGCAGAAATGGAACTACGAAACTTTTTCTTCAAAACAGTATCGATGGTACCAGACATAGTGGAGGCATTGCGATTAGTAAACAGGTAAACTTTCTGAACAGTACAGTTTCCATAACAGAATAAAGTTGCAGACGCGTTACTCAAGAGAAGTGGTCATAACTAGTGAAGATTTAGGAATTCTTCTTTTATACGCAAACAGTATCCATTTGATATTTATTTAGATTCCAGAAATTACATTTGAAACGTCTGAGAATCGATCGTAAATATTTAGAGCTCGTTATAATGTACCAACAAGAAGTTGAACGAGTACGTGATAGATACAATGAGGATAGATCAGATCCTCCATTACCGCGCAACATCCCACCAGTTGCTGGTCGAATTTTATGGATTCGTCAGCTTTATAGACGCGTCGAAATGCCTATGGATATTTTTAAAACACGTAAACGAGTGGTGATGCATGAAAGAATGCAAAAATGCATTAAAATATACAACGCGCTTATCAGTGTCTTTATACATTATGAAATTATATATCATAAAGCATGGTACGACTCCGCTGAAATCGTAAGTTGCACAATATATTAATTATTAATTTATCCGCATATAAGTCGTACTTACATATAAATATTTGATATAGGTACGCTTAGCTCTCTCATCGCCACTGCTTATCCGTCATCCAAAAACTAACAAGTACTGTTTAAATTTCGATCCTTACATTCCGGAAGTGATACGGGAGGCTGAGCACATGTCCAGATTTGGATTAGAAGTACCGGATTTTATAGAGATAATAACATTTTGCAAGGAAAAAATATTTTCTTCTTACGAAACCGTAAAAAAATTAGTAGAAGAGAACAATGATTTACGGTAAAATTAATTAAAATTTTATACAGACTACGTTAATTTATATGCGTATAATTCTATTATTGTAATTAGGCGGTCCATACCTGTGTTATTTTTGAAACTGATGAATTCCGCATTCGTAAAACTTGAGTTGGCTTTTCAACCTTGTCTGTCAGTGGTTACGTGGGCTTCATTGAAGATTCCTCAAGTATGCGCCGATATAAAGAACTCAATCAGGGACGTGGGAATCTTTGCTAAGGAAGTGAAGGATATGAAGGAAGCCAGAGTGGATGAAGTATTCGAGTCCATAGCGGAGACGAAGCTCATAAAACTTGTGAATTATCCACAAAGTGCGATTCAATTCTCGACGGACAATTTATCCTTTAGAAACCTAATGGCGGTGGAATTGGAAATAAAATCATCAGCCGCTGAAAAGGCTGTCATAACTATCATTAATAAATTTATGGACTTAATAACGGATCCAAATGTCGAGGATATAAAGTATCATTGGATGGATCAAGAAAAAGCAAATAAACAAGTTGGATCACAGACGAAATTAACAAAAGGACCCTTTGAACCAGGTATGAATTTTGGGTTGTTGAAAATTTTATGAATTATACAGTTGATGTTTTATAACTTTTAAAGGTTTTGGAAATATTGATAGAACGAACAAAATTAATATACATCGGGTACATAACGACTGTATGGAAATGTTTGCATATTTCAATTTTAAATTAATCGAAGCTTTAGTCAAGTGTACCAAAATTTCATTAGACGCTTTGAAAAAACGTGTCGGTACTTCGAGGTTTGTAAAGGATGTTTATAGTAGAATGGATAAAATAGCAATTAGCAACATAAAGTATTGTGAATATTTTTCAAATTTTGTTTAACAATAGCAACCGCTTCGATAAGTCTTACATTATGTATGTAACTCGATATTACGAATTTTAATGCGAAATGAGAAAGTTTCCTGGATCTTCGTTTTAATTTTAGTGTATTGCTGCGAGAAAATATTGAAGGAGGGGAAGCTCCAATAATGTCAACTCAATTTGTGCTGCAAATACCCAATATCGTTATAATGCCACCAATAGAGGAGATGCAGCACCATTTTGCAAGAGTAATAACAAACTTAATAGAGACCCATAAAGGGGTGATTATGTGGGGGCAGAGATACTCACCGACGCCCAAAAAAAGAACATCCCTTGGAATTGACATAGATGATGGTATAAAATTGTCTTGTTAACTATTAAGAAACTGTTATAAATATTTCTTACGTAACAGATAATGTACAACCCTTAAAAAATTATCATCAAAGCGTCGTAGAACATAAGGAAATTATTCGCTGTTCTATGAGCTTACAAGGAGCGATGCTTATGGTAAAAGACGACATAACAATGCTTGGAAATGTGAGTCTGATTTATTGAAATTAAGAAATTGATAAATATTCTGGAAATATTTACGTATGAAACTTTCAGTCATATTTACGATACTCTTATCTCTGGGCGGAGGACAGAGTCTCGCAAATTCAAAAATTCGTAGACTCAGATCCCATAACTCAGGAGATAAAAGAGAAATTGATGGAATACGAGGAAATATCTGCTGAAATACAAAGTCTTCCAGATCATCATATAGTCGGTCCCATTCAAATTAATATGGGTAAAGCGCCTTAGTATATTGCGAACTATATGCTTCATTAAAGACGTCATTTTATATAGTTGGACATTACAAATTTTTCATAGACAAATTAAAGTTAGCATTATTGGTTGAATCCGGCGCTTGGAAAACATCCTTGGGCATTATTCTCTCAACGACCTACAAGGAAAAATTGCGACGAATTACTGATTATATTAATGATAAGAATAAAGTCTTGGCTCGCAAGATAAAGGACCTCGAGGATGTTAGAGTGGCTATGAAATGTCTTGGGCAGATAAGGGATGATTTTATATCTTTGGACATGGAGTTAATATTAATCGAGGAGACATACACTTTAATGGGAAAGTTTAATATTGATGTCACGAAGGAAGAACAAGACACAGTTGACAGTTTGCGCTATAATTTCACCAATATGTTACACACGGTAATGATAATAATTAATACTAATAACTTATTTATATAAAAAATCCCTAGCATTGCTATTCCTAAGACAGCAAACAGTTTATATTATTATACAAATATTTGAAATCTTAATAAATTTTCTAGGCGAAACAGGTTCAAGCAATTATATGCGAGATGCAAGAACCCCTGAAGAAAGAATTAATTGATGGCGTCGCAGTTCTTAAGAAGGACGTGGCTGAATTTGATCTAGACTTTGAAATTAATGGACCGATGGTCGAAGGGATACCAGCTAAAGAAGCGAGTGAACGGTAACGTAACAATGGCGATGTTATAGAAGACTTGAGATAATAAGAAAAATTAAATGCATACAGATATACTGCAGTACTTTGTTTCTTAAGAGAGAACTGAAATCATATATTTATTATTTTAGTGTTATCTTGTTCCAATCGCGCTTTGACGAATTATGGGAAAGATATGAAACGTACAGCAGTGGCGAGACCTTATTTGGATTGGAAGTAACTGAATATCCGATATTACAGCAACGTAAAAAGGAATTTAATTTATTGCAAAAACTTTATGGTTTATATTTGCAAGTTATGCGCTCTATTGATGGTTACTTTGAGATTCCTTGGTCAGAAATAGACACGGACTCGATTATAGCTGAACTGGCCGAGTTTCAGAACAAGTATGATTTTTTAAATACTTTTCCAACTTATAACTGTTTAATGAACAATAGTTTAATAATTTGTATCGTTTTAGATGTCGTAAGTTACCGAAAGGTATGAGAGAATGGCCGGCTTATATTGATTTGAAGAAAAAAATTGATGATTTCAATGAAACATGTCCCTTGTTGGAACTGATGGCTAATAAAGCCATGAAGGAACGTCATTGGGAAAGAATGTCAAAGTTATGTAATTATTTCTTCGACATCGAATCAGAGTCTTTTACATTGGCTAATGTTATGGAAGCGCCTTTATTAAAATATAAGGACGAAGTAGAGGTTTGTGTTATTGTACACTTTACACGGCTTTCTATAATATTTATAACTAATACCGTACAATTCCCATAGGATATATGCATAAGTGCCGTAAAGGAGAAAGATATCGAAAGCAAATTAAAGCAAGTTATAGCCGACTGGGCGATTGTTAATTTACAATTTACAAACTTTAAGCAGCGAGGAGAATTGCAACTTAAAGGTGCGGAAACTGGAGAAATAATATCACAGCTGGAGGATAGTTTAATGATTATCAGTTCATTGATGGCTAACCGGTACGTAATGTTCTATTTATTGAATTATTAATAAAGGCAATATCAATTTAGTGAGTTATTTTTAAAACTAAAATGATTTGGTATTTGGGATATATAAATATTGCTTCAATTTAATTATTTGATAATTAATATTACCGATGATATACTTTGTAGCTACAATGCACCATTTAAAAAAGAAATCCAACTATGGCAAAGTAAGCTGAGTAACACTTCAGAAATATTGGCAAAATGGTTGAACGTACAGAATTTGTGGGCCTATCTCGAAGCTGTTTTTATCGGCGGCGATATATCCAAACAGCTTCCAGCTGAAGCGAAACGTTTTAATGTGAGAGATTTTATTACACTTACAGTTTTATCGTTATTTATAATATTGACATTTTCTATCCTGGGTAACGTATCGGTCCTAATTCTATTCAGAGTATCGATAAATCCTGGGTTAAGCTTATGTACCGTGCACATGAAAAACTTAACGCAGTGGAAACATGTACAGGAGACGAAACAATGGGTCAATTCTTACCGCATTTGCTGGAACAATTGGAATCTTGTCAAAAATCATTAAGTGGGTTAGTAAAATTAATATATTAATTAAATTTTAATTACGACTACCGAACGTCGCATGTTAAATAATTGAAGAACCTGTGAAACTACAGTTGTGATTTTTAATACTTGGATTTATGTTCTTCCAGTTATTTGGAAACAAAACGAGTGATATTTCCAAGATTCTGCTTTATATCGGATCCCAGTTTATTGGAAATACTCGGACAAGCGGCTGATTGCCATACTATACAGAATTATCTGGATGGCTTCTTCGATAATATTGGAAAGGTGTAGATCTGTGAATATTTGTATTGCCATTATGTGCTAACTGGGTGAATTCTACTGTAGCTGGATTTCTCGGAGAAGGAATACGAAAAAATTATCGCTATGTATTCGAGGGAGAATGAGAAAATTGTGCTTGAAAAAGAAGTCGTATGCACTGGCGGTGTTGAGAATTGGTTGAATTCACTGTTGAAGATGCATCAGCAATCGGTTGGCGCCGTTATTGCGCAAGGATTACAATTACTGTCTACCCCTGAAATGGAAATATTATCATTGATAGACACATCTGTTCTTCAGGTACACATGTATTTTATTATTATGTCGAGTCAAATTCATTATCTTAATTACCAACAATTGTATAGATTCTATAGCATTATTCGAATATTTTTGAAATTTATGCAGGTTGGTTTGTTGGCTATTCAAGTGTTGTGGACGAGAGACTCGGAAATTGCAATTGTTTCTGCTAAACGAGATAAATCAATAATGAAAAAGACCAATCAATGGTTTTTGGAATTATTAAATGGACTTATTGAAGTAACTGTAAAGGACCTTTCGAAATATGCACGTGCAAAATATGAAGCTTTGATTACAATACACGTCCACCAAAGGTATGCTAATATTATAACGCATATTGACATAGAAAGTAAAACTCTGATAATAATTCCATAAATATTATATGTATATACAATTTTTTTTAAGAGATATTTTTGATGAATTATGTCGTTTGAAAATAAGAAGTATTCAAGATTTCGAATGGCTTAAGCAGGCAAGATTTTATTTTGACGAGGATACCGAAGATGTACCTATTAGAATCACTGATGTAGATTTTATTTATCAAAACGAGTTTTTGGGATGCACTGATCGTCTCGCTATTACGCCACTTACTGATAGATGTTACATAACTCTTGCTCAGGCAGTTGGTACGCTATAATTGAGAGCAAAATTGTAAAAATAATACGTAGCTAATGGTATAAGGAACATTCGAATTAATAAAATATATTCCAAATAGTAGAAAATAGGAAATAATAATTCTGTATTTAGGTATGAATTTTGGAGGTGCTCCAGCTGGACCAGCTGGAACTGGTAAAACAGAAACGACCAAAGATATGGGTAAAGCTCTTGGGAAATATGTAGTTATATTCAATTGCTCCGACCAAATGGATTTCCGTGGATTGGGCAGAATTTTTAAGGTTTTATTATTTTAAAAGCTGAAGTCCGAATTATTTATAACTGCGTATGATAATTTATACATGTTAAGCTTGGTACTGGATATAATATAGATTTAATACGTTTTATAGGGATTGGCCCAGGCTGGAGCTTGGGGCTGTTTTGATGAGTTTAATCGGATCGATTTGCCTGTTTTATCTGTCGCTGCGCAGCAAATAGCGATTGTATTAACAGCGAGAAAAGAGAAAAAGACATCATTCGTATTTAGGTAATATTATTCTTGAATGATAATATTATTCTTTTTAATATTTGGTGTATTCGATTTCTTCATCATATTTTTACAATCCGCAGTTATTTTAATACCGTCATTATTAAAGGGCTATTCACATTGCAGCGACGGCGAAACCTATTCCATTGATTATGAATTTGGATTATTCATTACGATGAATCCAGGTTATGCAGGACGCCAGGAACTACCAGAAAATTTGAAAATAATGTTTAGAAGTGTAGCAATGATGGTACCGGACAGACAGGTGAAAAATTTACCTCATAACTAACAATTTATTAATCGAATAGATACACTATAAATATATAAAGTTCAACATAATGTTATATTTTTAGATAATAATGCGAGTAAAATTAGCTGCGTGCGGCTTTAAAGAAAATGTTATGTTATCTCGCAAATTTTTTACATTGTATAAACTTTGCGAGGAACAGCTCAGTAAACAAGTCCACTACGACTTCGGTTTGCGAAATATATTGTCATGTTTGCGAACTCTCGGTGCACAGAAACGTGCGCATCCCGGTGATTCAGAAGAGACGACCCTAATGAGAGTTTTACGGTAATTTACAATATAGTAATAAAATAATTCATTCTGCAAATAATAATAAAATAATTAGTTCTGCATGGAAACACAATTCTTGTACGATAATGAAACCATGAGAATTAATCTTTACGTCATTTCAGAGATATGAATTTATCGAAATTAGTAGATGAAGACGAACCCCTCTTCATGTCGTTAATTGAGGATATGTTCCCAGGAATTAAATTAACAACTCAGACATACAAGGAATTGCAGAAAGGAATAGCAAATGCTACTACTGCCCTTGGCATAATGAATCATCCGGAATGGAATTTAAAAGCCGTCCAAGTACTAGACGATAAGGCCATAAAAATTGTTAATAAATAAAATTTATAAATTTTATATTTATTTCCAGTTATACGAAACGTCTCTAGTTCGACATGGCTTGATGGTACTTGGTCCAACAGGATCTGGAAAAACAAGGTGTATGTGGGCGTTGATGAGAGCCATGACGGAGATGGGAATACCACATAAGGAAGTTAGAATGAATCCCAAAGTATGTACCTATAGAAATAAATAAATATTAAGACTGATTAAAACTAGTGATAATTGGTATATATAAGGATTTTATTAAAACAGGCTATAACAGCATCTCAAATGTTTGGAAGACTCGACGTAGCGACGAATGATTGGACTGATGGAATATTTAGTACATTATGGAGACGTTCAACTCAACTAAAGAAAACTGATAATCTATGGATCGTATTGGATGGTCCAGTGGATGCTGTATGGATTGAAAATTTGAATTCAGTTCTCGATGATAATAAGACACTGACACTGGCGAATGGGGATCGTATTATCATGGCATCAAACAGTAAACTGGTGTTCGAACCAGATAATGTTGATAACGCATCGCCCGCGACTATTTCGCGAATGGGAATGGTCTTTGTTAGCGCTTCCGTATTGAAATGGAAACCAATACTCGAGGTGTGATATCCGTTTTATCCCTTAATTGGATTCCGATGTTGCTTTTCGTGTTGAGCGCTTGGAAATATTTTTTTATCAACAGGGCTGGTTCAAGCGACGTTCGGGCCACGATGTTGAGGTTCTTCGTGAACTTTTTGATCGCTTGTACGGAGATGCACATACGTTTGTTCAAACGAAGCTTCAAGCAAAAATGTCGCTTTTGGAAGCACTATACATACGGCAGTGTACTGATTTATTAGAGGGGTTACTTGCCTTTGATTCTGACCCGTCCAGTAAGATTTTATTTTTAAAAAGTTGTCAATATTTATTGTTAATCGTTCAACTCATTCTTAAAAACTTTAGAATCTTTGAGCGATTCGCATATTGAAAGGCTTTTTTTATTCGCCGTTATGTGGAGTTTGGGGGCTGTTCTTGAACTGGAGGATCGCAACGCATTGCAAGAATTTGTTTTGTCTCATGAGTCAAAATGCGATTGGCCAAAGTGTGCAGTGCGTATAAAATTACATAGGAAGAATATGAATGTTAAGAATTAGTACAATTAACGTTAATTTAATGTGTTTTAGGATGATGAAATAATTTTCGAATTTCTTGTTTCCGAAAAAGGAAGTTGGATACATTGGAATGAAAAAGTCCCTGTTTTTGAGTATCCATCAGATAGTGTTTTGGATTATTATAAAATTTTAGTACCAAACGTGGACAACACCAGAACCTTGTTTTTAATAGATACTATTGCGAAACAAGAAAAAGCTGTTCTTTTAATTGGTTTGTAATAATTTTTCAATGAATATTACTTTTTCATTAATCGCTTCTCGAAAAATCAAATATTCTTCATATTTTCCATTGAGAAAACTTTCCTAAATAAAATGCATTAAATATTTTTTTGACTGGATTTCGTATTTTATATCCCAGGTGAACAGGGGACAGCAAAGACAGTTATGCTGAAAAGTTATATGTCCCAGCATGACCCTGAATTTCATTTAAATAAATCCTTTAATTTTTCATCGGCATCCACCCCGAATATGGTTCAGGTAAGAAAGTATCTTATTTATCAAAGGTAGAATTAAATATCCTCAATTCCTTTCTCGCATGTCACTAAATAAATGTCTTACAAATAATATGCGCATAAATATTAAATTCTTTCCAACTTTTTGTAGCGCATATTTGAAAGTTACGTGGAGAAACGCGTAGGAACAACTTACGGTCCTCCTGGTGGTAGGAAAATGACTGTCTTCATAGACGACATAAATATGCCAGTGATAAATGAATGGGGTGATCAAGTCACAAATGAAATCGTTCGACAATTAATGGAATACAAAGGGTTCTACTCGTTAGATAAACCCGGTGACTTTTCATTTATTCAAGACATCATGTTACTCGCTGCCATGATACATCCTGGCGGTGGACGCAATGACATTCCACCGCGATTAAAAAGGCAGTTTAATATATTTAACTGCACTTTGCCATCGAATAGGTCGATGGATACGATTTTCAGTAAGTATCCTATAAAAAAAGTCATAGCCTCCTCAGTTCTGAAATATATTTTTCCCTATAAATGCTTTTATGGAAATACATTATTCATATTAATTTCAGGCGCCATAGGAATGGGTTACTTTTGCGATAGCAGATTCTCGGAGGTCATCGTGAATTTCTTACCCAAGTTAATTCCATTAACGCGAGTTTTGTGGCAGCAGACTAAGATCAAAATGCTACCCACTCCGGCGAAGTTTCATTACGTCTTCAATTTGCGGGATTTGTCGCGAATATGGGAAGGAATATTGAGAGTCGAAAGAGACGAGTGTCAAAGTATCACGACATTATTAAAGCTCTGGGATCATGAATGTACAAGAGTCATATCTGATCGGTATGTAAAAGGATAATGCAACGTTATTTTAAAAAATTGTCCATTCTTCAAATCAATCCATGGATTTGATCTTAAATAAATTTTACAGATTCACAAATTTTGCTGATAAGGAATGGTTTCAAAATACAATGAGGTTCACAGCTGAAAAATTACTTGGATCAGATTATCAATATTATGAACCAGTGGAAACTTACTTTGTTAACTTTTTACGAGAACCTCCGGAGCCAACGGGCGACGAACCAGACGATTATGTTATCGAAGCTCCAAAAATATACGAGGAGATACCTAAGTACTGGAACATAAATTGTCGATAACTTATAAATAATTTTTAAAACTTTTGAATTCATATGACTTTACATAATTGCAACTAGTACAATATAGCTACAGTATTGTACTTGAATATAGTGTGTTACAATAATTGCTTAATCCATTTATTGTTTTGTAGTTACCAAGTTGTCATAGCAAAAGTTCATCAGAACATGGAACAATTCAACGAATACATACGTGGCATGCACCTTGATTTGGTCTTCTTTCACGATGCTCTGGTGCACTTGATAAGAATATCAAGAATTCTTGGTGTACCTAGAGGAAACGCCATGTTGGTTGGCGTTGGAGGATCCGGAAAACAAAGCTTGACAAGACTTTCATCCTTTATTGCGGGTTTCAACTTCTTCCAAATTGTCTTGACACGGTAGTGTACATACAATGTTAAATATAAAAAGAATATCTAGATGAAAATTATATAAAAAGTATTTAGCATATAATATTAACCAATCATAACTCTTGTGTCAGTGTCTAAAGAGATATTATTTATTGCATTGAGTAATTATGCTAACATAATCTTAACGTTAATACCACAAAAATCGTGTTCTCCTAGATCTTCTAGAAAGATGAATTTACTTTAACCATTGCATTCTAGGAGTTACAATGTCGGAAGCTTGATGGACGACTTGCGTAAACTGTATCGGGACTCTGGAGCTGGTACCAAGGGAGTCACCTTTATATTCACTGATAATGAAATAAAGGATGAGGCTTTCTTAGAATACATTAATAACGTCTTAAGTGTCGGCGAGGTCGCAAATCTTTTTGCGAAAGACGAATTGGATGAAATATTGACGAACATTGTGCCTCTTATGAAAAAGGACGATCCAAGACGGCCACCGACGCCTGATAATTTATACGATTATTTCATATCAAGAGCTCGAAATAATTTACATCTGGTACTCTGCTTTTCGCCGGTTAGTACGCGTGAGCTTGTTTGCATGCAAAAGACCATACATTGCTATTTGTATATTTTATGAGTTACAATCCACCAAAGTTGCAACGCTGGAATAACGTGCACAGCCTCATTCGGCATGAGAAGAAATAAGATTTTCAGATAGTTTCTTTTTTTTTTCATGTAATATTTATATACACGTTGCAGGTTGGCGAAAAGTTTAGATCAAGATCGTTAAAATTTCCTGGCCTCATATCTGGCTGTACTATGAACTGGTTCACTAGGTGGCCGAAAGATGCACTCTGTGCTGTCAGTGAACACTTTTTGGGCCATTACAAAGTAATATGTTCTCCGGAAATTAAGCAGCAATTGATCCAAGTAATGGGTGATGTGCAGGATGACGTGGGCGATACTTGCGTTGACTATTATAACAGGTTAAAATTATTTACTCCATAATTTGAAATATATTAATTGAAGACGCCGTGAAATGTTGTGACATATGTAATATGTTAAATTTTACAAGTGTGATTTGATTAATTATTTGACAGATTCCGACGACAAACATTTGTCACTCCAAAATCGTTTCTATCATTCATCGATGGTTATAAAGTAATATATAAACAACGTCTGGATAATATAAATACAATGGCTTTTCGAATGAGCAATGGTTTAAGTAAGCTAGTCGACGCAGCAGCACAAGTCGATGAGTTGAGGAAAGTATTGGAGAAGAATCAAGAGGAAATCGCTGTGAAGAATATACAAGTTGAAGCAGTAAGTATATGTTATCGGGTTTGCTCATTTTATTGTTAAAGAATAACAGTATTTATTATCGATACAAATATATATTTCACGTATGATCATTTTAATCGATTAGATACTCATTACGGTGAATGAGAAAAAGAGGGACGCGGAAACAGTTAAAGCTCACGTTCAGACATCGAAGGACGAGGCGGAAGCACTTTTGAAAATAATTTCAAAAGAAAAGGCCGTCGCCGAGGAAAAATTAAAAGACGCAGAACCGGCTTTGCTCGAGGCTGAAGCGGCGCTTCAGGTGGATGATTCTAATTAGCAGTGCCCTAATTGTCAGTTACATTGTTAATGTGCTATTATTAGACCATCTCCTCATTTTTGCTCATAGACCATAAAAGCTGCTGACATCTCCACAGTACGTAAATTAGGAAAACCACCGTATTTAATTACCCTCATTATGGACTGCGTATTAATTTTGTTTGGGAGAAAATTGGAACCCGTGAAACCCGATCCAGACAAACTATTCTTATGCGCTTCTTGGTCCGAAGCATTGAAGGTAAAATTTAATATCCTCATTTAGTCTTATTACGTCATTATATCAATTGGATAAATAAAATTGAGGTTTAACTTTATTGACGTTTTTAACTTTATTTTAATTCGTTTCTATGGACAGATGATGGCTGACACAAGATTTTTATACAATTTACAACATTTTCCGAAAGACAATATCAATGGTGAGACTGTTGATTTAATGAGGCCGTATTTGAATTTCCATATGTACACTTATGAAGCTGCGATGCAAGCGTGTGGAAATGTTGCGGGCCTTATACAGTGGACTATATCTATGGTCACGTTTTATGGCATAAATAAGGATGTACTTCCTTTGAAGGTAAATACAAGAGATAATAAATTAAAATAGAGAAGGCCTTAACGTATGTTGTTAAATAATTAAGGTATATATCATCGTTGTCATGTGAAATATTTTTAGGCAAACTTAGCAGTGCAGCAGGCTAAACACGATAAAGCTAATCGTAATCTGGCAGATGCGGAAAAGCTTCTCAGAGCCAAAGACGAGGATTTGAAGCAAGTGCAGAAAGAATTTGACGGAGTGATGAGCGAGCGTCAGGTATAACTTTAGAAATTTTTAAAAATTCAAATGGAATCGAAGATTCTAATAACGTAGAAATCGAATTTTATTGACAAAAGGTAACAGACTGTTTTTTCATCCTTCAGAAAGTAGTCGATCTGGCCGAGGCTTGTCAAGCAAAAATGGATGCTGCCACAGCTATGATCGACGGATTATCGGGGGAACGAATCCGATGGACTGATCAATTGGCAACGTTTAAGTCAGAGGTCGACAGACTCATTGGAGATGTATTGATTTTAACAGGATTTCTATCGTATTGCGGACCTTTCAATCAGGAATTTCGAATTCTACTACAAAGGAAGTGGTTCGAGTTTCTACAGAGTCGAAAGATCCCTGTTTCTGTCACCATAAACATTATAGACTCACTGACAGATACAGCGACGGTTAGTGCATTAACATTTTTTTTTACTTGGTATAGTCATTTCGATTATGGTATTGTAATAAAAGAAAGTACAATTTGTGACGAGACTGCACAGATAAATTTAATAACCGGAATAACAGTAAAATACGTTTATTACCTTTGTTATCGTTAGACTGGCGAATGGAATTTACAAGGACTTCCAAACGATGAACTTTCTATACAAAACGGAATAATTGTAACAAAGGCTACGAGGTATCCTTTACTAATTGATCCTCAGCTACAGGGCAAGACGTGGATTAAAAATAAGGAGAAAGATTTTGATATGCAGGTATGAGAGTTTATTACGACAATTAATTAGTTAGTTGAACATAATTATGATTACTTTATATCTACTGTACTTTTTAATAATTCTATATATTTTTTCTCGATGCTTCTGACATCTCGGCTGTAGATGACACTGCTGTCACATAAATATTTTCGAAATCACTTGGAAGATTGCGTCTCGATTGGTCGACCATTACTGATAGAAGATGTAGCCGAAGAATTAGACCCAGTGTTGGATAATTTATTGGAAAAAAATTTTATAAAAATAGGAACATCCTTGAAGGTACATTGTATTAAAAAGTTATCGAAATTTTTCAATAACGTTAATTCACGCAGGAATACAATTTTGAATTTTTCTTCTTATTTTCGATATTTTTAGGTAAAACTTGGCGATAAGGAAGTCGATATACATAAAGACTTCCGACTATATATCACGACAAAACTTCCTAATCCATCTTATACTCCAGAAATATTCGCTCGCACATCGATAATTGACTTCACTGTTACAATGAAAGGTACGATCAACTTGACGTTAAAAAAGTTTTTTTTTTTAACATATGTCTACCCGCAATATAGGATTAGAGGATCAGCTGTTAGGTAGAGTGATATTAACTGAAAAACGAGAATTGGAAACTGAAAGAACACAATTAATCACGGATGTTACTGCGAATAAACGTAAAATCAAGGAATTAGAAGCAAACTTACTTCACAAGTTAACGACGGTTCAAGTGAGTTTAATTTCTTCCAGGATTCATTAAATAAGTCAATTGCAAGATAAAATTTCAAAAATAAAGTAAAATCATCTTGTCTCTTCAATTTGTACATTAAATAAGCATTTGAAACGTGTAAATATTACAATTAATTCCATAATGTTTAATTAATTCTTAAAAGGGGCCGCTCATCGAAGACGTCGAGTTAATGTCGGTCCTGAACAACACGAAGCAAACGGCTGCCGAAGTTAATGAGAAACTTACCATCGCGAGAGATACAGAAATCAAAATTAATGCAGCTCGAGAGGAGTTCCGACCAGTTGCAACACGAGGGAGCGTCCTGTACTTTCTAGTTTGTGACATGGCGCAAGTTAATTGCATGTATCAAACAGCTCTCGCCCAGTTCTTAGAAAGATTTGATCTTTCAATGGCGAGGTAGATAATTTCATATTATTATATACATAAATATAAACATTTTATATTACTCTGAAACTATTATAAACGCATATCACTGTTATGTTAGATCTGAAAAAAGTCCTGTCAACCAACGAAGAATTAATTTCATCATCGAATACCTGACTTACGAAGTGTTCAAGTACAAAGCACGTGGTCTCTATGAGAATCATAAATACATGTTTATACTACTCATGACCCTGAAAATTGATTTGCAAAAGGGCGCCATCACTCACGAAGAATTTCAATATTTCATAAAGGGTGGCGCAGCATTGGATCTGAATGCAGTTGCGCCAAAGCCTTGCAAATGGATTACCGACATGACTTGGTTGAATTTAGTTGCGCTGTCAGCTTTGAGACAGTTTCAGTATATTGTGTCACAGGTACCAGCTGCTGAAAAAGTTTGGAAATTTTGGTTCGACAAGGATGCACCTGAAGAAGAAATCATACCAGATGGTTATAACGTACTCGATACTTTCCGCCGTTTATTAATGATAAGGTAAAGAATATAATGATGTGATTTAATTAATAATTAAAAATATTAATAAAATAATTTCTTACATCATAGGGCATGGTGCTTGGACAGAGCTTTATCCCAGTCGCGAAAATACATAGCTAATTCATTAGGATCAAAGTATGCTGAACCTGTAATTACACTTCTGGACGTGATGCTCGCTGAATCCAGACCAAATACGCCAATGATTTGTTTCTTGAGCATGGGTTCAGATCCCACTCCAAGTATTGAGCAGCTAGCAAAAAAGATGGAAGTAATGTGCAGAAGTATTTCAATGGGTCAAGGTCAAGAAGTTCATGCAAGAAAATTATTGAACTATGCAAAAACCGAGGTTTGCTATTCTTTTCCAATAAAATCATAGTCATTACATCATTTATCGTACCTCCGTTAATGTTGTAGGGATTCTGGGCACTCTGTCAAAATTGTCACTTGGGTCTTGAATATATGGCTGAGCTAGTGAACTTTATATTAGATATGGAAGCGCCACATCCAAATTTTCGAATATGGATCACGACTGAACCCCATAAAGATTTTCCTATATCTTTGCTACAAATGTCTATAAAATTCACATATGAACCACCACAAGGTAAATCTCTTAAAGATTTCAATATTGAAGTCAATATATAAAGATGATATATTAAATCTTCTAATTGCCTAATTATACGTAATACAGACACTGATTAACATTCTAATTACACTGTTCAGGTATTCGCGCAGGATTATTGGCGACGTACAGTGGTATGAATCAAGAAATGTTAGATCAGTGTGACGCCATTCAGTATATTCCACTAATTTACGCCGTGTCCTTTTTGCATACTGTTGTTCAGGAACGGCGTAAATTTGGTCCACTCGGTTGGAATATCCCGTACGAATTTAATTCAGCCGACTGGCTAGCTTCTTGTATGTTCATGAATAATCATTTAAATGATTACGACCCGAAGCGTGGAATAAGTTGGCAAACTGTGAGGTGATGTAGTTTTCAATTAAAATTAAATCCTACAATACCATACGCCACGATATAGATAAATGTGTTTTCAATATATTGTGAACATTTGTAGATATATGATTGGTGAAGTTCAATACGGTGGCCGTGTCACTGATGATTATGATAAAAGACTTTTGAACACGTTTGCAAAAGTCTGGTTCTCCGAAGCACTTTTCCTTGAAGGATATACGTTTTTCAAAGGATATTCAATTTTGAGCTTTAAACAAGTTTCTGATTATTTAAAAGCCATTGATGCAATGGCTACTGTCGATCCGCCGCAGGTTTATGGGCTTCATCCCAATGCAGATATTACGTAAGACATCATTAATATAATATTTATAAATATATCTCCAACGTAGTGGTATACTTAATGATTATATTATGTTCACAATTGATTATAAATGATATGTGGAAAAACCGAATGTTATTTTATGCATAGATTATTTATTATAATAATATATGGTACATTTAATAATTTTCGATAACTGTGTTATACCAAGAATTATAATTAGAGATTAATCAAACACTGTATGCCTTTCAGATATCAAAGTAATGCTACACAGGATGTATTGGACACAATAATATCTGTACAGCCGAAGGAAGCAGGAGGTGGTGGAGGTGAATCAAGAGAAGTATCAGTGACAAGACAAACTAAAGAAATGTTAGAAAAATTACCACCAGCTTATGATCCGTTTGAAGTGAAAGAAAGGTACGTAAACTTAAAACATGTGCAGAAAAAGAATTCATCCAGCTGCTTAATTAAGGAGGTTCCGTGATGATAATCATAATAGTAACAGGGAAGCACGGGTTAAATAGGGAGTAAAAATCATATTCAAATGTTTCACAGGCGAACATTTCCTTGTCTAGTATACAGAACAAATGCAGAATTTTATCTTGGATTATGTGTTATCACGGAAACTCCTTATGATTGCTCATATGCATTGATTATCGTGGTAATGATTCGCTGTGTAAAATCGGATTGTCTAGTATTACTTTCATAATTATAGATTAAAAATAATGGGAACTACCGCGTCGATGAATATTTTCCTGAAACAAGAGATAGATCGAATGCAAAAAGTGATTAAATTGGTTCGAGTGACATTAAAAGATCTTCTGCTGGCAATAGAAGGTGTTATTATAATGAATGAGCAACTTAGAGATGCTCTGGATAATATCTATGACGCAAGGATCCCACAATTATGGAAAGCACGATCGTGGGAATCCTCAACCCTTGGGTTTTGGTTTACTGAATTACTCGAGAGAAATCAACAATTCTCAACATGGATATTCTCAGGCAGACCACCGCAATTTTGGATGACAGGATTCTTTAATCCACAAGGTAGATAACTCACGTTAAATTAATATCCCCAGATTATGTAACGGTTCGTTAAAATATTTAAAACAATTTAAATAAATTACACTTGTACAACTTTAATTGATAGGATTTTTAACTGCAATGAGGCAGGAAGTAACTCGTGCTCACAAGGGTTGGGCTTTGGATAATGTTACATTGCATAACGAAGTCACTCGATATACCCGGGAAGAAGTTCGAACCGCACCAAACGTATGAATATAAATTTGAGTCTAATGTTCTACATTGATTTTTCATATTGCGTAATTATATTTTTAGGAGGGCGTCTTCGTTTACGGACTTTTCTTAGAAGGCGCTGGATGGGACAAAAGAAATAACAAGCTCTGCGAATCGGCAAATAAGGTGTTATATATAATTATGCCGGTTATACACATTTTTGCCCTATATAACAACCCGGATAAAAATCCAAAATTGTATCAGGTAATTTTTAAGTGCGAGGAAAATTATTATTATTATTACGTTATTAATGAGTCTTCGCGTAGATTTGATTTAATAGTAATTTAAAATTGCATTGAATAACATTTTTAATTTATTGATTGCTTTCAGTGCCCTGTATATAAGAAACCTAAAAGGACTTACGTACTTCTCATCACACCCCTGTGGCTTAATACGACAAAGTCACCAGACTTTTGGGTCATGCGCGGAGTCGCTCTACTCTGTGATATTAAATAATATATGAGATCTACAACTTTGATTAACTGCTCACAATAAATAATTTTTTAAACGCCTTAGTAATTTTGAGCCTTACGAACCATTATTTATACTTGAACAATATATTATACTTATATTTTTTGTTACGTATCTTGTGTTTAATTTCTTAAGTTTCTTTCTTTCTTATTACTACATACAATTTTATTATATACTTAAGTGAGAGTATTAAGATAATTTTCGAAACGTGCTACTACTTTTTATCGCATCTATTTGAATATCCATATTTCAACATTTATGAGAACCCTCAAACTTCTAAGGGTGACTAGTTTCTGGTTTACATACATTCTCATAATAGAACTATTTTAATATACCCAGAAGTTTTCTAGAGCATTATTCAAATGTATTAGGGGATGGCAATGTGTGTTACATTTTCATCCCTTTATAAATGTAGATATTGCTTCTAATTGACCTTACAGAAGAAAATTAATATACAGAAATACAGTAACATTGTTTCAGCATTTAAATATTTGCCAAAAAAATAATACTGTAATACACATCGTTAAAAATAGGAAACTTAAATTTTGTAACACTTGCTTGAAAAGTTTGATTTTCGAAGCGTGTGGGGAATGCGTAAAGTGCCCTATTAGGTAACAGTGAGGAAAAAAAGTTCGCGCATGCGCGCATTTGAAATACTGTACTTTCCGCACTAGAGCTTTTTCGACGCATGCGCACTTCGACATAACTCAATTTTGCGCACTGTCAGTGGCGCCATCGGGGGTTTTTATTACATTCGTCTGCTTCTCAAATCGAACTTTACTTCAGAGGAATTACAAAAAATATGGTGTATGGCACGTGAGGAAGACGATATCTGACTCATGTCAGATTACACTACTCGCCTTCCACTCGTGCCGCAAACTTCATATTGGTCGAATTTCGCCTCGTTTCCGCACTTGCAATACAACATACTATTCGAAAATAGCAAGGATCCCAATAAGTTCGGGAAGGTTACGACTTTCAGTTTAATTGGAAAGGCTAAATCTGACATGAGAACCTTTGAGTTTCCAACCAGAAAACAGACTCACGTCGAATGAAAATCGTTACTCACGTGGTTAACGGTGTGGCTGTTGCTTTATGTATTAGATCAGAATGAATTTCGATAAATTCAAGATAAATAACATCGCCTAATACATTCCTAGAAAGAAAACAAAATTTAAGGCGTATAAGTCACAAAATGCACAACAAGCACTGCACGTAGTATTATACTTGTATGTACAGTATACCTATACGGCGTCCGCATCGAAGCGTAAAAAATGGCGATACCGATGAATTCCTCGTGGACGTAAAGACGAGATCGAGGAATCTCCTCGTTCTTTTGTAAATGCTTTAAATCCTTGGACGCTTCACGTCGCCGAGGGAGAATCTAATATCTCCCAGGCGCCATGCAAAATATCACTTCAACCGAGTCAACTCTTCTCGTTATTCAGAGAAATTGCCGACTTTCTTGGGACGCAATCTTTTTTTTCCCCCTCTTTCCCTCTTTTTCCTTATTTTACTTATCCTTCTTCTTCCGTCCCGAGACGACTTCTCGAATCGCCTCGTAGAGATACTCACTTATTTCAAGGATTGATAAGTCGCCATTTTCGATGCTACGATTTCCAAGATAAAGATTTCAAGGCTTGTATTTATCTTTAGTTTGCTTCATGAAGTTTTCAAAGAATCCGTCCTATTAGCCGTAAAGCGAATGATATTTCTTCGAAAATATTTTCTCCATTTTTCCGTATAACTTTACCGAATGATTTCCAATTTTCAACCATTCGGAATATTAAAACAATAGTACATAGAATTTCTCAATTTTTTACTAAGTACTGCAAAATATTAATTGCATCATTATTATACCGGTTTTGTTTATTCTGATAATTTCCTAGATAGTTAGGTAAGTATTAGGTCTATTTTTCAGCTGAATAGCTTCTTTAACTGAGGTATGGGAAATGCTTACCTGTGAACCTGCCTTAATATATTATACCATGTAATTGTATGAATACTATTCACTGCTTACGTATAGTACAATTGATTTACCATGATTGCATCACTGAATGTATACACATTGTTAAACAACGTTAGGACTAAATGCTGTTCCAATAATTATGTGTGATTGTTTTCCTTTCTTCTTTTACTTAAAACTGCCTCCTCAATGAGGAAATGTTCCAGTTATATCTGATTGTATTTCCTCAATAAGATCGATTAACCATAGATTAAGCAGTAGCATGTAATGCGACAGTAAGTTTTCTACAAAGGCGATTGTCGGTAAAGAAGAGCGTGGACGATACTACAGCGACGCACGAAAATTACGAAATCCTAAAAGAAGAAAATGAATAGGAACAGGATCTACAATAGCTATAGTTGATGCAGTAGAACATACATCTACATTGAGGAGAAGAAATTATAATTAGTGGGTAATAAATTCACCACTGGGAATTACATTGTATATCCAAATGAGTTTTATTGGAAAATCAAATAAATCCCTGTACTATAAAGTAACGCTATTAGATTTTTCATATAATTTATACAATTTGAGTATTATTTAATATAATTTCGGTACATCAAATATATGAATCATCCAAAACTTTAATTAGTGATAGACATAAATAGTACTTACCGTTATAGCACGAAGAACTTACATACTTCTGTCAATATCTATATTTAATATTTGATCTTCATGTTCTACAATTTTTCGTCAACTGCCGTATGTACACCCAGTTAGAGTATACGTGTACTATGATCGTACTAATATAGATAGTATTTTTCAGTACTATGTGTCGAAGATGAGAGAAAAAAATAATTTTTCAGGAAGCCACTTCGTGCGATGAGTGTTTACGTAAAACCTTCCGCAAACTCTCAGCATAAAATATGCTTAAGATGCCTAAAGGTTCCATGTGCTTGTTTCGTATCCGTGAGCGATGCCTTGGGGTTCACTTAAAAAGACCAACCCACTCAAAACGTGCGAGAAGCACGATGGACTCATAAAAACGACTAAACTTCGAAATGCTCGTTACGTAACCTACTTGAGACTTAAGAAAATTAAGAGCACAAACGACCGTCTTAAAACATGTTATTTAACAAGATAAAAACAGCGTTTGAAAAATTATGCTCAATATCATGGTAAGTAAATTAGGCATATAGAGGACTCGATTAGATTTATAAATTCCGATATTTTTTTTCAAACGTCGAAACAGAAATTCTCAGACGTTTTATTTTTACATGTTTCAGGATACGTAAGACGCATTAGAAATACTGAGAATTGGAAATTAGAAAAACGGAACTTGCTGAACCGATCAGCTAAGTTGCCGGCGTGTTTCGCAATTAGTCGAGTATTTAATTAGTGTCTAACGTAGCTAATTACCAAGTGTTCGTTAATAGCAGTTCGAGCAGTGAGCTCAACGAGCCAATCGACATGGAAAGGACGTTGTCGAGCGACGCCTGCCGATTTGCAATTCCACAAGTTTGCCTTCGGGTCCGACCTCTGTAAACTGCACGAAAGAAGAGAATAACAAACAGCCCAAAGGAATGACTTCTATCCCCAGGATATGCAAAGACAACACGAGGTGTAATCGAATGAACGAAGTACCCGAGGATCCTTCGGGACGTCGCGTCGGCGACACTCTCGAAGGAACAACGAAGAACATTCTTCACGAAACGATCGTAAGATTCGAAACTGTATAAAATGCAAAGGAAGTCAAACGATTTATGATAGTCACTGCGAGCAATGTATCTCGATATTGGAATTAATTTTCACCTTCGTTGATTTCCGTGCAGTTGGCCGCCGCTGCTGCCATCTTTCCTCTTGCTCCGTGAACTATCGACTGAGTTTCTTATCCAGGCATTATGGCGTTTGATGATGTTGTTTTCACCGTTTTTGCCAGTCGCCACTTGAGTCTGTAATTGAGTACGCTTCCACCAGAGGCGGAAGCGGATCTGGGGTTGATGGGAAAATTTGCAAGAAAACGAGAAAGAAGAAAAAGGATAAAGGAATTAGACTTGCTCGACCAATCTAACCAACCGGTTAAATTTTACGAGACACGCGCAACCGTTCTAACGTACTACTGTGTTATCTGCCAGATATTTCGTGTCTCTCTATCTACCCTCGCACCTCCATTAATAGCAGGCAATTTCGTGTTCCCTCAGCTAACCCGTGTAATTGAGCCAATGTGTGTTAATCAGAGTGCGCCTCATTTGCCACAGGGAATAGTCCGAATTGCTTTTGTTACCTGGGACTGTAGGTGGTATCTTGGTGCGCGGGAATATTGATTTTGAAAATTTATGCCGCACCCCTCGCTGCTGCAACGATAAATATGAGAAATCAATGTCACGCATTTTATTTTTTAACGCGTATGGTAGTTGGAGCAAGTCACAGGAATGTTTAACGAGCTGCCTGATCGTATTTTTGTTATTAGTGAGAAACGCTAGAAGCACAATTTCCTATTTTATTTAATTTTCTCATTTTCATCGCAGAGGGAACCTCTTAATATTTTTTCTTGTTCTTTTTTTTGTTTCTATCAGCAACCATCAAACTTCAAATAATTTGAATCACTTTCGTCGTGCCGAAAAAATTCGAGTGAAATATTCGCGCCCGCATTTCCAAGTTCTATTGCTTCTTTTTTTCCACAATTCTTTCTCTCTTTTTCTCTTTTATATTAATTCTCTGACTCACCGTGCCGACAGCGAGAAATACGTGGTGGCTGTTTGTGATAAAAAAAATGGAACATATTCAGTAATTCATGAACAATTTTGAAGTACCTCGAAATTTTCTCGTTGATGGTTGACGACGACGTGTTCCTCGTCCGAGTTATTTTCACGTTCGACTTCGTCGTGCTGATTGGTACACGCCATTTTTCGCCAATTTAACTAATAGTCCTCCGTGAACGTTATCAGTATACGTACCTTCTAGTGACGTACGACCGTAATGAATAATCGCACCGAACTAATCCAACTACTCGTTTGCTCAGTCAATGAAAAAGCGTCGATTTACTCGCTGATTACGCCAATTTCAGGCAGTTCCGCGTGAAGATCCAAAGGAGCGTCAGCCCTTTCCAGGACATTAAAACCACTCACCCCGCTCGTTCGCACGCTCGGGCCCATTTATACTAGGGGTCATCCAGAACGATGTAATCGCCAAGCGTTACCGTAATTGCTCTTTCCAAGATGGTCACTACATAGGAAGAGAGTTAAAATCCATGCAAACGGTGTTTGTTTGGTTACACAGCGCCATCTGTGCGTTTCCAGTGTAATCTAATAGCGACCAAGAAACATTACTCTTACCAGCATAAAATATACTTGAATGGTAAATTATAATGAACAGTCTGGGGATATCTTCACTAAAATTATCTAGAGAATTATTAAGATTCTGTTGCGTGACAGACATTG